AGAGAGAGAGAGAGAGAGAGAGAGAGAGAGAGAGAGAGAGAGAGAGAGAGAGGTATACCATCAAAATCTATGAACTGAATGCTAATAATTATTGCTAATATTGTCATGATTCAAATATAGATTATGTACACTTGAATGATTTGTTTATATCCTGTTCTTTGGCAAGTGACTCTTTGAATTATATTTGTTTTGTGCTATGGAATTACGCACAAACAGCTCAAAATTATAGCATTATTTCTGTTGGGCCTCAATTCAAATTTGGCATGGGAGGATGACAATTGATGTAGTCATAACATCTGCCAGTAGATGGGTGACTGTAACTTGTTGTCTAAAACAGTTTTCCCATCTTGGCCAAGCCAGATAGCATGTTGATGTAAGTTTGGAATTGTTCTGAACACAGGCTGTACACAGTAGATTTTTTTTGTTTTGTTTTGTTTCTTGACTTGACAAGACAAGGTTTGTTGTAGCTTTGGGGCCTGTCCTGAAACTAGCTCTTTAGTTCTTGTAGACCCAGCAGGTCTCAAACTCACAGAAATTCGCCTGCCTCTGCTTCTTGAATGCTGGGATTAAAGGCATGCGCCACCACCACCTGGCCTTGTTTTTGTTTTTTTGAGACAGGGTTTCTCTGTGTAGCCCTGGCTGTCCTGGAACTCACTCTGTAGACTGGACTGACTTCAAACTCACTGAGATCCGCCTTCTTCTGTCTCATGAGTACTGGGATCAAAACCATGTGCCATCAGCTCCTGGCACACACAGTAGGTTTGCTAAAGCTGTGTTTGTGCTTAGATTCGGGTTTAGCTTAAATAGCACCAATAACAGAGTGATGCTGATATTCCCCTCACCAGGTAAACGTCGGGAAGATGGATTCGCCCATTGAGAAGTGGAATCTGATCATTGGCAACCTGGCTTTAAAGCAGGTATGTGGCACATTTATTTATAGATCTTGGGGGTGAAATTCACTGTTTGTTTCACGATACATGAAAGCAGTAACGACTGTCCTCCCGTCGTCTCTTCCCTCCCTTGCCATCCTCTTTCCTGAAACTGTTGGTTAGGATGGTGGCCAGAGGTCGCCAGGAATTTCTTTCCTGAAACTGTTGGTTAGGATGGTGGCCAGAGGTCGCCAGGAATTTCTTTCCTGAAACTGTTGGTTAGGATGGTGGCCTGAGGTCGCCAGGAATTTCTTTCCTGAAACTGTTGGTTAGGATGGTTGCCGGAGGTCGCCAGGAATTTGCCGATCCTAGTTGCCAAAATTCAATGCCTCTTTGGCTTCCTCCTCCAAGGATACGTGATAAATGGGGGACTTGGGCAGAGCCATCATGATACCACAGGCGATCACCGGCGAGGTGGTGGTTGTTGGGAGTGGTTGCCACAGACAGAAGGAAGAGAAGATGGCGGCTGGGGTTGGGTTTGGGGAAGGGCCATTTTCTCCCTGAGCTCCACTAGCATCGCTTGTGGAGGAGAAGAACGTGGAGGTGCTGGTTAAGGACAGATTGGAGGGCCTGGAGATGGCTCAGCAGTTAAGTGCTCGTGTCGTTCTTCCAGAGGACTGGAGTGTGGGTCCCGGCCCCCACATCAGGTGGCTCATAGCCATCTGTTAGGTCAGCTCCAGGGGTTCTCTCAGCATCTGTGAGTTTGAGGTCAGTCTGGTCTACAGAGTGAGTTCCAGGGCCACATTGTGAAACTGTCTCAACAATAAGAACACAAACAAAAACAGTGTGGTCCTGAGGGCCACATGTGTTGACGCAGCGCAGGTCAAGGCAGTTTGAAAGCCCACTGTCTTAAGTGGTCTGAAGTGGAGTTTACGCCCTGGCAATGCTGCAGCAGGCACGGGCAGCCCGTGTATGGCGGTTCTGTTGAACTCGTCCACATTGGGTTTCATGGTCTGAGTTGATGAAGCCGACTGACCAGGTCTCTTCCTCAAGAGGGCACCGGATATTAAAACTGAAATCCAGTAGCCTCTTTAAAATGAAGGCGGTCAGTTGCCATACACAGCACTTCTTCGGACTATTTTGTATGCCGTGATTGACTAATGAAAATTTAACGTTTTAAAAATTACCCACCTGGATCTTACAAAAACCGCCTGTAGGTCCAGGCCACAGTGGTTGGATTCTTAGCAGCTGTGGCAGCGATCGTTCTGGGCTGGATTCCAGAAGGGAAGTATTACCTCAGCCATTCCATACTTCTGTGCTCCAGCAGCGTGGCCACCGCCTTCATAGCATCTCTTCTGCAGGGTGAGTGCAGCTCCAAGTGTCTGCTTTTGTCTTTTAATAAAAGGATCGACCTCCCAGGATACTGACTTTTTCTTTTAAATTCTATTTCCTTTACATCCTGTGTGCAGCCTCTTCGCACCATACTCCTCTCCCGTCCCCAATCCCCTCCTTTTATATCTCCATCCAGGAAAGGGCAGGTCTCCTATGGATATCAACAATACATGGCATCAGGTTGCGGTAGGGACTAAGTACCTCCCCAGGTATTAAGGCTGGGCAAGGCGACCCAGTATGAGAAGTAGGGTCCCAAAAGCCAGTAAAAGAGTTGGAGACAGCCCCTGTCCCTTAAGAGGCCCAAGCTACACAGCTGTAACATATAAGCAGATGGCCTAGGTCAGTCCCATGCAGGCTTCCCCGTGGTCTGCTCAGTCTCTACGACCCCCTCTGAGCCCAGGTTAGCTGATTGTGTGAGCCTTCCCATGGAGTCCTTGACCCGTCTGGTTCCTACGCTTCTTCCTCCTCCTCTGCAGGCTTCCCAAACTCGGCCTGATGTTTGGCTGTGGGTCTCTACGTCCGCCTCCAGGATGGCAACTTTTAAACAATATTTGTTCATGATGAAAGTGACAGAAAATATCCACATAAGCTTTAAATAATCTTAGTTCAGATGTATTTTTATGTTACTACTTATTTATATTTATTTGGTTTTTCAAGACAGGATTTCTTTGTGTAGCCCTGGCTCTGTAGACCAGGCTGGTCTCAAACTCACTGAGATCCACCTGTCTCAGCCTCCTGAGTGCTGGGATTAAAGCCGTGTGCCACCACCGCCCTATTTATTTAATTATTTATAAACACTGTAGAAAGCGGGCTTTTTGAGGTTGTTCCCTTTGCCACAGATGCCCTGGCTCAGTCTTCAGTCAGACAGTCCAGTGTTCCCGTTTTCCCTAAGAGTTAAGAAAGGCCTTCCTGGAAACCACACAGGGGACTTTCCGGCCTGTCGCAAGAATTCCAGAAATTTGGTTTCAAAAGCAATCCCTCATCTAAATTCTTGGTGGAGAGTACTCCCAGAGGACCTGAGTTCAGTTCCCAGGAGCCCCCTGAGGCAGCTCACAATTACCTGTGACTACAGCCCAGGGTGAAGGGTGAACCTAACACCAGTGCCCGAGGGGGCAGCTGTTCTCACCCCTGTGTGTCCTCTCTCACCCGCGCACCAGTATAACCTAAGAAAAATCAACCCAACAAAAAACCCCAAAGTTTAAGTTTCTGTGACAATATAAATATAACCTTGTGCTGATGCTTAATGTAGCATATTTTTGACTATATGTTAAAAAAAAAAAAGAAGTTAAAAAACTTAGCTGAGCTGAGTGCTAATGGTGCACACCTTTGAATCCAGCACTCAGGAAGCAGAGGCAGGCAGACTTCTGTGAGTTTGAGGCCAGCCTGGTCTACATAATGAATTCCAGGACAACCAGGGCCATACAGGGAAATTCTGCCTCAATAGTCCCCCCCCCCAATAAAAAAATAACCTTAGAACTTGCAGGATTATCTTCTTTATATTTATTGATATGAGCACTATACTAGGCACCTATTTCTATGCTGGATTTCTATGCTGTAGAATGTCGTCACTGAAGTTCAGTTGGTCTCTCTGTGTAGCCCTGGAACACTCTATGTAGACCAGGATGGCTTCAAACTCACAGAGGTCCCCGCCTTTGCCTCCCAAATGCTGTTTGTGATCAAAGGCATGAACCATCACGTCCAGATAACTCTCACTGTTGGCTTGCTTGACTTATTTATTTAGTTTTGGTTTTTTTAAGACAGGGTTTCTCTGTGTAGCCCTGGATGCCCTAGAACACACTCTGTAGACCAGGCTGGCCTTGAACTCAGGGATCCGCCTGCCTCTGCCTCTTGAGTGCTGGTAGTAAAGGTGTGAGCCACCACTGCCTGGCCACAACCCTTCTTTATTCTTTTCAATATTTAGTTATTTTTATTTTATGTGTATGAATGTCCTGCCTTCATGTATGTGCGTGCAGCACGAGCCTGTGCTCTCGGAGGCTGCAGGAAGGAGTACACGCTACCATGTGGAGCAAGAACAGCCAGTCTGCAAAGAGCATCATTTTTTAGACCTATTTTGCCATTTTCCCTTTTTTTCTTAATGTTTTTGGTTTTTCTTTTATTTGATATATATGAGTGTATATTCTGTTTGCATGTATGTCTGGGTACTGGAGTGTCAGATGAGTGTTGAATTGAGCCCAGGTCCCCTCTGGGAACAAGTAAGCGCTCTTAACCCCTGCACACGCCATCTCCCAAGGGTCACTTTGGTATGTGGTTCCTGCTCTAAACTCCGGGGTTCAACACTTCACTGTAGACACTGTACATGGGTGTGTGTTTTGTTGCTGTGCATATAAGTAGGATTCCTCCCTCTAGTGTTTTCATCCTTCACGGGTTAAAATAAAAATCTGCTGTTATATATATATATGTATTACATTTAAAGCATATGCCTCATTAAATTCAGAATTTTAGTTTTTGCTGTAATTTTACAGTAAATGCCACACTGAGCCGATGATGTCTTCTGGGATCCCTTGCAGTTTGCTGAAGGTTTTGCCAAAGGGGATTTTGTTTGCTCTGTCAGTTTATTTGAGCATTCTAGCCGGAACCGGTGTGCTGTTTCTCTGTGCGGGGTATTTCAGTGTTTGGAGGATGGATTTCCTGAGTCAGCCTCAAGAGTAACAGGCGTTCTTTCTTCTAGGAATAATAATGGTCGGAGTTATCGTTGGCTCAAAGAAGACAGGCATAAACCCTGACAACGTGGCCACACCCATCGCTGCTAGTTTTGGCGACCTGATAACTCTCGCCATATTAGCGTGGATCAGTCAGTGTTTGTACTCCTGCCTGGGTAAGTTGACTTGAAGCTAAACGTGGAATTATTTGGTCATTAGAAAGTGATGTTAGAACTAGTGATGAAGTTGACTAGAACACTGTAGCTTGTGTATTTATTGTGTGCTGTGGCTCTCGTGTGCTTTCTTCTCTTACTGAGTTCAGAACTCTTAAGAAAATGTTTATCCTCTGTAAATTCTTCTCTTTTCTGCCCCACTTCCGCCCTTCCTTCTTGAGGCAGCTAATTCCTGTGCCCCCAGGATATCCTCAGATTGGCTCACCTTCAACTCCTCATCCTCTGTCTGCCTCCTAATTCCACCTCCCAAGTATTTGGTTACAGGTGTGTGCTATATAACACCTAGGTATTCTTTGGAATTTCAGACAGGAAGCTGGAGGGTCATAGAAGTTATATATGCCCCCAGCTTTACACATGACTACTATTGTAGTTTAATACAATCCTGTCGTACTCCATGGGTTCTGTGCTTTCTTCTCATTGGATAGCCAGTTAGGAATCACACTACACTGTTAAGTGTTTTGAATGTGAGAATACAGTTATCATGTTTTTTGTGTGTGTGTTTGTATTTCCTTCCTTCCTTCCTTCCTTCCTTCCTTCCTTCCTTCCTTCCTTCCTTCCTTCCTTCCTTCCTTCCTTCCTTCCTATTTACCAATGAGTTATTTTCCCCACATCAAAACCCCATGCTAACAAATAGCTTCCAGACAATTAGAGACAAAACAAAACGCCACATCTGAAAATTAGCTGACTACTAGTGAAGTTCGAGTCATCGTGTGCGTGTTCCTGATGAGTCATGACGGGAAATGTGCAGAGTCCAGTGAGCTGTCCTAGCGGGAATAATGTGTTCTGGGCCCACAGCCAGTGGGAGTGAGCCTCATCTGTGGGCATGGGTTAAAGGCAGAATGTTAGTTGTGTTTTCATTTACATGTCAAGTTTGTGTGTGTGTTGTGTGTGTGCGCGCACGTGTGCGTGCACATATCAGATTTCCACTTTAACGAAAGCATAACTTTACAAGGCCATCACAAGGCAAATATTTATTCACAGATTGCTATGGGTTTTATTCAGCTTTACGGTACGATTCTGAAGTTTGGAGAAAAACTTCAGATGTACTTTTGAACCAAATAGGCTCTAACCCATCCAATGCAGTAGCTCCGTCTGCCTCCTGCAGCGGCATGAAAGGCCTCGTGTAGTACGGGACACTGCCTTGACTCTAGTTTGATAGGTGACACAGACCGTATGTGCTCAGATACATCCTTCCTCACTTGAAGACAGAGATGCATCGCCTGAACCAGTGCATGAGACAGTAGATGGGCTGGTGCTATAAGCTATCACTGAGCTCTCATTGGCTGTGGCTCTGTCTGTGGGGGTGCTTGGTTCCCTCTCCTCTCACAGGAAGTGCAGAAAAGAGGGGTTGTTATTAAAGAAATGGCCCTACGTCTTGTCTAATTTTTGTTGCTGGGATAATACATTGATTCCTCTTTTTCCTTCTCTGAATTATCATGCAATTTAGACCCAGACGCTAGAGTCGAGGAGTAAATGTTAGCTTCTATCTGGTCTCAGAGAATGTGGTGTTTCTTTCTCTCACCCATTAAGCTCACCACCCAAGCCACAGACAGCCTTCTGAGCAGCTTGTCCTCCTTACCCTGAGGGCAGGCGTGGGAATGTGCACTCATCATCCCAGCAGGGAAGCCGAGGGAGGAGTACTGAGGATCTGGGGCCTGGATGTGAGACCCTGTCTCAAGACTGTCATCAATAGGAGGCCAGTAAGAACCCGAGCAGGGCTCCTGGTGCGGTGCATGCCTGTAGTCCCAGCACCCACGTGGCAGCTGTAACGTGACACATGACGGCACAACTGCCTGTGATTCAGTCACGGGTGATCTGATGGCCTCGACTGGGCTCCCTGTGTCCCAGGGATGCACCTGGTGTGCACACATACTCGCAGATAAAGCCCTGTACAGATAGAACAACACCGGCTATGATCCTCGTGTGCTGTCCTCCAAAGCTTGCAATATTGTGAGTGTTCCGTGGTGCCGGGTTAAGGCTGGGTCTGGGGGGGGGGGCTCTGTGTATCTGAGACTGGCCCTCCAGCTCATCCTGCCTCCACTCCCTGAGTATTGGGATTATAGGCGTGAACCTGCAATCCGACATTACCTGGTTTTTGTTTGTTTGTCTTGTTGTTCTGTGGAGCTGAGGGTTGACCCCGAGACCTTGCACTGTGCCGCACTGGTACTGGGGTGAGGAGTAAGAAGAAACGCAGTCCTCATAACCGTAGAACACAGTATTATTAAGTATTGTTTAGGCTATTCCAGGCCTTCGTTTGTCCTCTGAAAGTTGGCTTTGCAGTGCTTCAGACCCTTCTCATTTCATCTGTGTAATTGATGCCCCCAGGGGATTTTCTTTTTAAAGGGGCTACCGGTTCATTCTGCAGTTAATTTAACAGCTTACAGGTGTTCTGAAATGTCATCGTGTTTCTGTAGCCAAAGTGTCTGCATCCTGAGCACTAGGGGGCCTCAGAAGACCGGCAGTTAGGCACCTGGCCTTTTCCTTCTGAATACAGAGATTAGAAGCAGGCACGTTTTAGTTCTAAGATCCCGTTCATCTTGTAATCCCTGTACTACCCTGGAAACACGAAGCAGCGTTTAGAGAAGACAGGAGGATCTTTTTGGTAGCTGTAAGCTTTGGCTAGAGAGGCCAAACTCCGTGGCTCCAAGAATCCGACACAGGGAAAGTTCCACGGGGTCAGTCCATGAAGAGGACACATCAGTGGTAAATATGTACGTATCCAACGTCAGAGCTCCCAAATGTAGGAGAGTTATTAATGGGTTGGACAATACACACAGTGGGGATTTCAGCACCTCACTTTGACAATGGGTAGCTCATCTGGACGGAAGTGCAGTAAAGAAATGCCGGACTTGAAGTGGACACTTGTTCACACCAGCCTGACAGTCTACAAAATGGTCCCCTCAACAGTCACGTGGTGTGCATTCTTCTCCTGCACATAGGTCATTTCCTCGAATAGACCCCATATTAAGCCATGTAACACATCCTAACAAGTTTAGGAATCGTGTCATGTTTATCGACGCCGTGATGGAGTAAAACTAGAAAGCAGTGAAGAGGAAAAGTGGAAAATCTGTAAATGTATAGAAGTTCAGTGGGACACCTCAAACTAGCCGTGGCTCAAAGAACTCAAATGGAAACATCTTAAGCCAGGTGAGAATGGAGAAACCATGTTCCAAAACCTATGGGATACTGCACAGGTAGTTCTAAGAAACCTCAGGGATGCCACACACGCAACTCTAAGGAGGACGCTCCCAGCTCATAGCTGTAACCACCTGTGTTATAGAAGACGCACACATCCTAAGGCTACACGGCAGGAAACTGGGGAAAGAACACGCTAAACCCAAGCTCTGCAGGAGAGAAGTAAGGACGAGCATCGTTAAACCAAGCAGAAAAGCTATGGGACAAACCAGCAGGATGAAGGGTTGGTTTTTCTTAAATGAAAAAGACTGACAGCCGTCTTAGTTTTGACTAAGAAGAGAAAAGACTCTAAGTAAGACCAGAAAGGAAAGCATAGACATTGTAGTCGGTACCCCAGAATGGAAAGGATCCCGGGGGCTGTTAGGAAGAATTACACGCCTAAAGCCTGGCCTCTGGGGAGTGGATACACTTCTATAAGCATCCACCCATGAAGTTGAGTCAGGAAGAAATAGAAGTCTTGGCGAGACAAGTAGACTGGAGTAGTAACTAAAAAGAAAACAGGTTTGTATGAGTGTGAAGCCAGCCTGGGCTAAAGTAGACCTTATCTCAACAACCCAAATACACACACAAATAAATGCTGAAAAAAATCAACCCCAGAAAGCAAATGCTTCCAGGAAGCATCCCGGCAGAACACATCCAACCCTGTTTCATGAGGTCGGCGTCTCAGCCTGATAGCAAAGCCGGAGACCTGGAGGAAATTATTGGCCAGGAACTCTGCTGGACAGAGCTGATGCCGCCTCAGAAAACCAAGAGCACACAGTGAAAAGTACGTGAGAGAAACACGGCCTCTGTGGTGAGGCAGGGCAAGGGCGCCCACTCTCAGTTCTGTTCACACCACACTAGAGGGACTAACGAGCAATAGAAACAAAAGGATCAATGGAGTCCAAGGAAGGGTTAGATATCCCTGTCTGTAGAGGACACGGTCCTATGTATGCTTCAGAAAAACGGGGATTCCACCAAAAGGGTTTTAAAACTTCTAGAAAGGTTTCAGGATGTGGATCAACAGTGCAGAGCTCAGTTGCGCTTCTTTATATCAGTAAAGATTTATGTGAGCTAGAGATGTGTCTGTAATCCAAACATTGGGAAAGCTGAGGCAAGAGGACCTTGGGTTCAAATCCAGCCTGGGCCACATGCAAGCTCTAGGCCAACCGTGGTCATTATGAGACCCTGTCAGTCAATCTGCCTGCTTATCCATCCATCCTTCTTACATACATACATGCATACATACATGCATGCACGTGCTTATCTGAATTGCTATAGCACTTTATTGAGGTGGCCTTTATGACTTTGTGTTTGGTCAGTGATTACAGCTTTCTGTAGAAATACAATACTCCTCTGCCCCACTTTTTAAAGCCTGTTTAGTTCACTGCAGGACATCAGTGGATTGGGCAATAATTAGAGTACCTGTGACTGTTGTACCTTTCTGTTTGAAATACAGAATTCTTGACGATACCGTGGCTTTTTATTTACTTATGTTTTGTAGTACTCTTGGTGCTATATACGTAATAGATATTGGATAAATACTGTCTTACAAAGTGCATTATTCCTTTTGAAAATGATGTAGCTAATACGATTAGAATTTATTCAAGTGGCCCTCTAATGACTTTGGCATGGTGACTGCCTGAGAATACGATTGACTGTAGCAAAAGCATCCTCCACACGAGGACTTGGGATTAGTGAAATAGTGTAGGGTATCTTGGCTCAGTACAGAGTTCTGGGGATTAGTAACACTTCAGGAAAGTAAGAACGGAAAGACGGGGCAAGAAAGATCAGACAGAAAGAGAAGGCCGACTATGGTTGTGAGCTCTGGTTTATGTGGTTGTGATGCGCTTTTGTGTGGTTTGCCCGTTAGAGAAGCTTCAACCTCAGGAGTCCGTAAGAGAGCTAAGGGAAGTTGTACATGTTATATAAATATTTATTTAAAAACTGTCATCTTTTACATTTGACAGTTTTATTGTTATGTGTTTCGCCTGTATGCATAGAAAAACTTTGAGGGATTGGAAGTTTGGAGGGTCTGGTCTCAGAGGGTCCCAACAAGGGGATGGGAGGATCTTCCCTGGTTGGTGATCTGGAAGAGAGGCTGTCTTTCCTCAGGTTGCAGCTACATAAAGAGTAAACACACAGCAATGGAATTGATCACCTAACTCTAAACAAAACAAAATATGACCTTAAAAAATTATACATCTGGGAACCCCCAATGATAAGTCGTTGAAACTTGAGGTGAAATTTGACATCGATTTGAATAGGAGGACTAAGGACCCGTGTATGACATGCCTATGGAGACTGGCTGGAAGAGGGAATCGATCCCCTAGATCTGGAGTTCCAGATGGTTGTGAGCCACCATGTGGGTGCTGGGAATTAAACCTCAGTCCTCTGGAAGAGCAGCCAGTGCTCTTAAACCCTGAGCCATTTCTCTAGCCCTTTTATTTTCCTTTTTAAAGAAGTGTGTGTGTGTCTATGTGTATGTGTGTGTGTGTCTATGTGTGCCACAGTGCTCATGTGGAGCTTTCTCTCCTTCCAGTTGGCTCAGGATCCAGTTTATGTGTCAGGCTTGGCTGCAAGCCCTTTGCTCTGAACCTTCTTGCCAGCCTGCTTTCTTTGGTGGTGTCCTTTTGTGGCCTAGGCTGGCCTTGAACTTGTGATTATATGTGCACTACTACACCAAGCAAATCACCTTATTTATACATTTAGTTTGTTAGACTCGTAAAAATTACTTTAGGTACTTGAAGAAAATGATGAGAAAAGTGCCCTAATGTAAGATGTTGCAGAGACTGTCATGCCGTCAAACATTCCGAGCTTGGCTGGCTGCTGAGCACCAGGGGGCACAGGGCTGTTCCGTGTCCAGGTCTGTTTTCCGTATGCAGCGCTGGACTGTGGCTTAGCTTGAGATCCGTGAGCCTGCTTCAAGGTTATGCTGGGGAAGTGTAGAGCAGATCTCCTTGCAAGGCCATTGTCGTCCTCCTCAGATGGCCCTTTCTCCGCTCTCTGCTTGTGGCTCTCAGGGTTCAAGGGGCCTCTCCTCTGCTGTTGGGTTCTTCACGGTCCTGTGTCTGCAGGCTTTGTTAGGGTTTTGCCTTAGTGGCCCACATTCACGGAGTTCACCCTGCACACGCATGCTCGGCATTCACTTCCCAAGCTTCTCCCTGCTCTGTCCTGTGGACTTGTGTCTCCCCAGCCTCACTCTCTGGGCCTTTAGGAAGAAAGCCGAGGCAACTTGTCTCTGATCTTGTAGCATCTTTTGTCTGGTGTTGGGAGATAGTTCACACACAAGCACACACACACACGCACGCACGCACGCACACACACACACACACACCCCTTTCAGTCATTTCTGAAAACTCATTTAAAATTTTGTTTAGAAATGGCGTGAATCGTGCCTGTGAAATGCTAGGCAGCCAAGCCTGCCGTCAGTAAAGAGGCAGAAAATAGAGGCCGGATGAACAGTTGTGACCCAGACGTGTGCCACAGAGAAGCACAGCAAGGCCTGGGCAGCTATCAAGTTGGCAACTGATGTTGGTTGTCCATCCTGGTGTCCTTGCTCTTCTGTGTAGGCTGTGTTGTTATCTCATAATGAATGCTTGGGACATTAATGTTGTTATTTAGGTTATATGAGCTGATAGTTTAAAAGAGCATCTGTGTAGCACAGGCTGACCTTAAATGTGTGGTCCCCATCTCCGGCCTCCTGATTGCTGGCTTAGGGGAAATGGGCCACCATTCTTGGCATTGGGTTTTATTTACTGTTCTAAATCTTGGGTATATATAAAATGTTAGACACTTAGTATGTTTAATAATAAACCTGATAACAATGCTTCTTTTGTTATTTAGATTTTCTGTTGGAAAGAGGAAGGGCTGAAATGTCTTCTTTTCTTTATTCTAGAGACATATTATTACATTTCTCCTTTAGTTTGTGCCTTTTTCTTGGCTCTGACACCTATCTGGGTTATAATAGCTGCCAAACACCCAGCTACCAGGACTGTGCTCCACTCTGGCTGGGAGCCCGTCATAACAGCCATGGTCATAAGCAGGTGAGTGTTGGCGGTGGGGGGCGGGAGCGTGACCGTGGGTTAGCAGTGAGGCATCGCTCAGAGGAATCCCAGCAGGGTTGCAGAATGGAGTATCCGTGGCCCAGAATATCATTTCTGCTGATGTGGAAAGATGTTCAGTCTGCACTGGATAAGAAAGTCATCTGGGAAAGAGTAGGAACATCCTGTAAAATGTGGTGAACTAAGAATGGTGCGCGAGCTTTGGATTTGGATAATGCAGAGATCAGAATTGAGCACAGGAGACCCTTGCGAGGAGGTGGAGGGTGACTGCAGTGCCTCTGCTCGCGACACCAGCTTTCCCGAGCGTGGGAGGACAGCGCGCGTCTCTAAGAATTAGAAACCAGCTTTGTGGAGGTGATTGATGGCAGCCTCGCGGGTTGGATGTATCAGGAAGGGCTCCCCGTGGGCTGGCATTTGTGGAAGCTGTGAGATTTACATCTCATCTACCGCAGAAGTCAGATTTAAGCCTGAAAATGAGAACTAGCATCTCTGCATGCCACTCAGCAGCGAAGAAGTTACGGCGGGAACTGAACTGATCCCTAGGGCACAGAGGGTCTGGGCACGGGGCTAAGAACCACCATGAGAGGGTGCCAGGACTTTCAGTCATCCAATACAGCGTGCGGATCATTTTGCTGTAGGGAGATTGCAATCCCTGGAAGATTTAGGCAGCAGGTGCCTGTGGGTGACGGGACTGGCTGTGTCTTATGAACCACAGGCTGAAGGTGAACAGTTAATAAAGGCTTGAACAAGCCTCCACGTTCCACTGAGATACTGAACGCGTGTGGTTTGCCACTTGTTCTATTAAAACCCCATCTCATTTCCCAGACTTCTCAAGCTCAGCTCTTTCCATCGCTATAGCTCTCTGGTTATACAATTGTAATCCACCTAGTTTTAGAAACGCCCCTCCAATGCCTGCTTGCCTTAAAGATGGAAAACGCTGTTTACGAACTAGCTCTTAAATCGCAAGAGGAGTAGATGACTTGATGAAAAATAGTATGATCCAGCACCTAGGGGGCGGAGACAGTGGGTTTCTAGGGGTTTGAGGCTAGCCTGGTCTACTCACAAGCTCCAGGCTTTGTCTCCAACAAAACCAAACCAAAGATACTCTGTGAAGAACAGGAAGGGACCATTCATCCCATTGTTTTAAGCCTTAAAGTAGTTGACAACACCTTACAGGGCTTTCTTGTAGGTTAGTGAAGTTAACAAACTGTAACCTGGGAATTGTGACACATGCCTATTATCCCAGCACTTGGGAGGCTGAGACAGGAGGATTGCTATAAGTTCAGGGGCATCTGGACTACATAGCAAGACCCTGTTCCCCAGAGGGGGTGGGGGCAAGATATGTAAAACAAACAAACAGAAACTAATGCACTGACATTTTACCTGTTGGTTATGGTATTTATTATTGCTTCAGTGTGTAGACTGAGTGTGTGCTGTATGTGCCCAGGTGTGCATCTGTGGAGGTCAGAAGTCAACACCAGGTTCAGGGAGTCTTCATCTGTCACACCCTATATTTGCTGTCTATCTTAGTTTTGAGACAGGCACTCACTGAACCTGGCAATCACTGATTGGCTGGTTGGCATGGCTAGTGAGCCCGGGATCCTTCTGTGTCTGCCTCCCACTGCAGAGGTTTTATATAGGCTTTAAACTCAAGACTTTGTGCTTAAATAGCTAGTTCCTCGCCGCTGAGCGCCTTTCCTGCCTTCATGGCCATGTTTTATTTCCAGTTTTTTACTGATAACATTGATTTCTACTTTGAATATTCTTCTTTTTGCCTGATTTTTATATTGCATTAACATTGTACTGTACAAGGTGGGAGTGTCTGGATGTCAGAGCAGCTTGAGACTCTTTTCCATTTCTCTTCCCTGATACGTGGTTTTCTTTCTTTCAGCATTGGGGGCCTTATTCTGGACACAACTGTCTCCGACCCGAACTTGGTTGGGATTGTCGTTTACACGCCAGTTATCAACGGTAAGCCCAGAAGGTACTGCCTTACAATGACGTCACCCTCAGGAACCCACATGTCTTCCTATTCCATCCATTCCTTCCTTCAAACTCAGATGTACCTCAGAGTGGAAACGTCTTCCCTGGTCTCAGTACATAGAACCCTGTTTGGAAAAGAGCTGTTTCTCAGTTGTGTTTGTTACGTGTCGGTTAGACAGGCGCTCCTGACGTGTAAGGCCAGTGTGACAGAATGCAGAATTCCGGTTCTGAGTTGCCCTTCCCTCTTTGGCTGAACTGCTGGCATTATATTTGCTTTTGTTGGTTATCTTAGAAGAAGCAAAATTAGCCAGATTTGGCTCTTGGCTAAGTTCAGTCCACTCACTAAGAGCTGCCTGAAAACCTGGACTCATCATTTTCTTGCCTTCACAATGGAAATTATAATCCTTATATTAAATATGTATAATACATATATTAAAGAATCTTGTTAAAATAGTATGATTTTGTATGAAGCACACTTAATAAGACAATTTAATTCACCTCTTCTGGTGAGCATGAAGTTGAGCTTTAGTATAGACTAGATCGACATAAAGTAATTCTACTTGGCATAATTAACTTCTTATTTCTGGGCATGGTGGCATACTCTTTTAATCCCTTGGGAGGCAGAGGCAGGTGGATATCTGTGAGTTCAGGGCCAGTTTGGTCTACAAAGTCAGTTCCAGGACAGCCAGGGCTGTTACAGAGAAACCCTGTCTCTAAATGCCCCCCCCCCACACACAAAGAATTGACTTTCTATATTTACATAAAAATTTATATAATGACATGTTCTGCAGAAGTCTAATTTTAGATCTAAAATTTCTACTGAACATTGTAATTTTTGTCTACCTTTAGAATGTCAAAGACTTCCCATACAGATCTCTCTCCCAGCTGTCTGGTGCCACCATTTCCTTCCTGGCATCCATTGTTAAAACCATGGAACTGTCTGATTCTACCTGGTTCTCCTCTTTGACTTGAATATCACCAAACTGTCCACTGGCCCCTCGTAGGACCCCTTCGTTCACTTGTGTATACAGCGGTCTGTCCACGTAGGCTGAGGTTGTCGCACCGAGGCCATCCATCCGGATAAGGGAATACCTTTCCTGGGTTACTGTCTACCCAGTGCAGCTGCCACAGAGATGCTAGCATTAAACTTGCTGTTTGCAAGGAGAAAAAACAAGCCCACAATTGTCCCAACTAACACAAGCTGTGTTTTGGGGTGCACCCAGACCTGGCCAGTCAGCTGCCTCCCTAAGTTAGGACCCAGTTAGAACTTGTTGCTAGGTATTGGGGAGCTCAAAGGAAGGTATGGTGATGGGCTAGAAAGGCACAGGGCTGAGAGGGTTCACAGGAGGGAAGAAAGCTGGGTCTGCCCTGAGGATCTGCAGAGGGGATTGAGGACGAGAGGGAAGACGGGCCCTGCAGGAGGTCTGCTATAGGACTGGGTGCTGGTGGACATCCCCGACTGTGGACGGGTCCCCGCAGGGGATGTGAGGGAAGGATGTGAGCCAGGCCACGGTGGTTGGGAGAACCATGTGGCCTGACTGATTGGCAGCCAGAATGTTTCTCTATTTGTACAGAATTCAGTAAGCAGGGATACGTTCATATTGTTCTAAAACAGAGAACATGTCATTTTTGTCTTTGGACATGTGTTTCGTTTCCTCTTGGTCATCAGTTAATAAACTGTGACAGAACAGAGTCATCATTTCCAATCATTTTCCCTCAAGTTTTGACATCATTGATAAACAGAGTTATCATTTTTACTCATTAACCCCATAACCCAATTTTTAAGAATCTAGAGGTATATGACAAGTCATTCTCAGGCCGGTTGCTTCTGTGGCTACAAGGACATTTGACCAAACCATCTTCAAGCCATTCCGGGCACGCTGCCATGTCCCAAGCAGTTTATTATTAACTCTTAATGGTCAGAGTGCCCAAGAAATAGCCTCAGGCCAAAGCTGCTGCAGTTATAACCAACTTCTGGCATAATACAATGTTTATATTTTATATCTTTATAGAACACTTTTATTGTCTTTCTAAGTCATTCTTTGTCCATCAGTATAAGTCTCTGTGTCGGACAGAAGTAACTTCAGCTAATCTAACTTCCTTGCTGTGTAAGCCACGCGATTGCCTGGGTGTACAGTGGGGAGAGGCTTGTACCTAATCTGTGGCCAGTTCCTCCAGCCCACCAAATCTGGTTGACCTTTTCAAGTTCCCTTTGTTTTGGTTATCTCGTTCCTGAGTAAGTACAGGGACAGATGTTTAAAAAGTGTCTTACGGCCCTGTAAAGAGAACTCTGGCGTAAGGAAGACTTTCAAGTAGAAAAGGATAATTTCCCTAAAGCAGGGAGGGGTAGGAATAGTTTGCTCAGGACTGCCCTGGGAGAAGGCAGAAATGATTCAGAAGAAAATTTCCGCCAGTCCAACATTCCTAAGTGGTACCAATATTGAAAGTCTCTCAAGAATGCCAGAGGGGGAGATGGAGCCCACGGGTGGCACGGCGGCCATGTGGCTCAGCTGTGCTGGCTCTATGACGTCCGCCATCCCCATCACATACGGCTGTGCCTACTGGACATGAGACAGAGGATTGGAACTGAAGGACGGGAAGGGGAGTGAAGATCACCCCCCTGATTCCCAGACTGGCGTGGTCAGCTGCCTTCCAGGGAGAGGGGGCTTCAGTGGGGCCAGGAAGGAAGGCTGTAGAAGAAGGGTGCTTTGCCTTTTTATCCCTACATTTGGTCAGTAGTTTTCCTGAGTAGCTCTCCATAAAATTACTTCTGGTTGGTCCTTCACTCATTCAGTTAATCCTGCAATTTATGTAAATCTTTTTTTAAAAAAAGATTTGTTATGTATACAGTGTTTTACCTGCATGTTTGCCTGCATACCAGAAGAGGCTACCAGATCAGATGGTGTGAGCCACCATGTGGTTGCTGGGAACTGAACTCAGGACCACTGGAAGAGCAGCCAGTGTTAAGGGCTGAGCCATCTCTCCAGCCCTATCCTGTGATTATTTGCTATCAAAAATAATCTTGGCTGGTGAGGTGGCTCAGTGGAGGTAAGGCACTCGCCACCAAGACTGAGTACAATCCCCCAGGATCCACACGGTGGAAGGAGAGAACCACCTCCTATAAGTGGTCCTCTGACTCTTTCAGGCATGTCATAGCATGTACCTGTCACACACAGACAGACAAGGTAACTAATAAGATATAATCATCATAATCATCTTCCTCACAAACCAGATTGTGCCCATCACTCCAAGAACAGAGTTCTCTTTCTGTTTCCTGGAGAATGAAGCATCAGTTACTTAGCCCAACACACTGGCCACTGGGCCTGGTCTACCCAACACTCTGCCTCTCGGGGTTACCCCAGCTCCCCGCCCACAATGAATGAAGGTCCCCCTTGTTGAGTGGCTTGTGATCTCTCTCCAGGTGCCCCACTTTCACACTGTGCTCTGGTTCTCCTTCGCGCATCTACAGTGCACTGACCATTCCTCCAGACCCGCCCCCCTCCAGACCCGCCCCCCCCCAGACCCGCCCGCATCCAGATGCAATCGCAGCGGCACACCTGCAAGGCGAGGGCCAGAGTTGTTCATCCCCTTTGTGTGCCCCCCCACGCCTTTAGCGATTGCGTGGCACCCCATGTTTATTCTGAATGATGAGTTCTGTTTCCTCCAACTCTGAGTCATGGCCACAGTGTCGAGATCTGGCGATGGGTGAGCGAATAAATGTATGAGTTAAGGGGTGAATTTTCATTTTGCTGTAAACTACACGCCACTGAATCAGAGGAAATTATCATGTTAAGTAACACAGCCTAGATCATAAAACAAATCCGTAGACGGTAGAGGGAACTTATATTTAAGGAGGCAAAAGGAGAAAAATGGTTCCTTCCATTTATATAAAAGTTTTAGCAATAGTAGCAACACTCATTTCTGTCCTTAATAACTCTCTTGTTTATAACTAGAGAAATGGCTTAGTATTAATTTCTCAGCTCTTCTGTGTGTTCTGCTCCCCGAACTCTTTATGTAGGACTCTCTAGGCAAAGCATCTTTAGATGTTAAGTGAGAGAGGTGAGGATTCAAGAGCGAATTATTTGCAGGCAGGAGAAAGAGCTGAGGGCCTGTGGCATGGCTCAGTGGGGAAAGGTACTTGCCACCAAGCCCGACAGCTTGAGTTCAATAAATCCTTTCCACATAGCCTTGGAAAGACAGGCTGGCCATGCTGTGCTAGGGCAAGGGAGAAAGACTCCCTGAGGAGAGTCTGGTGGAGACAGGGCTAAGGGGTCCAGAGGGAGACGAAGGAGAAGGGACTTATAGCTGACAGCCTCACTCGTCCCGAGCCGAGTAGGTTTCCCCCAGGACAGTGTTTCTCAACCTTTTCATGCTGTGGTGCATAAAGAAGAAAGCCATAATGCTGGGCAGATGCCCTGGTGTGAAGGAGCCACTTGTGGCCATTCTAAGGATTTAGCGGGTTGTCGCAATGGTACTAACTCATTTCTACATGCTGGGTGGGACGTTCTCACTGCGACAGTGTTCTTTAAGCTGGTTTGGTTTTTTTCATTATCACTTTCTGAAGGAGCCATTTAAAATAATCTCCCCTAAAAATGGCTATATAAATAAACATTACATGTATCTTTTTATATCCATTATATATTGCATAGTATAAAGTTATACATATTTACCACATGGTTATATTACATATACGTATAGAGGATATTTATACTTTATACATTAAGAGAATACAGTATTTCTCCCCTGCACTTGAACCTATTTCTGCCCTCATTAGAACATCATGAGCTAGTGTGGAAAATACAGAGAGGGACTTGGCCAGTTATTGGCCAGCTTCTGCATAGTGTACTCGAAAGAATCAGTAAATAAAGGGGGTGGGGAGTAGGAGTTAAACGTGCCTGCCCTCATCCATATGAAAGGGGCTTTGCCTGCCCTTGAAACAGATGAAAACGGAGGGCGTGTGTCGCCATCCCTGTGCGTTTCTAGAAACTGAGGATGATCGCCTCTGAGCGCTGATGGGGGAGCCCTGGAGGGTGATCATGTGGACCCATGTGGAAGGTGCCAGATCACTGACCAGGCTAGGATTAGGAGCATAGTTTGCTTTTTAAGGAAATGAACTTTTGTATTGGGTTCCTTTAAAAATGTGCAAAAATAATCTTGATAGGATCTGAAATACAGCCTATGATGTGAGTGTGAAACGTTTACCAGAAACAGCAAGAGCTGTGGAGGAGACCCTAGGCGAGCTGCTCAGCATCCCATCTTAGCATCAGGTGCTTTACCGTTCACGGTAAAGCCTCACTACTCAGTGTGTTGACAGCCTGGTTCTCCTGATGTTTTTAATTTATACAGGACTATCTTTAGATGCTTTCTGCTAGCTTTAATAATGCAGTTAGTGTCTGTAGAACTTAAATAATTCAGGAGCTGTATTAATAACAAGATCTTAAAATCAACAGTGTCTAAAACAGTACCAAGGAAGCATTCTTTGACATCAAAGAAGCTATTCCAAGGTAATAACTTTGCCGGAATTAAAAACTATAATGGGCAACCCTGACAAGACGGTGAAGAGCTGCTACTTTCCTAGTCTCTTTCCTAGTAACATTGTATCCACTTCACCTGGAGAAGCAGCGCCAGTGCCTTTCTAAAGTGACTGAGGAAGATGACGTCATTGCCATCCCTATGGTAACACGGAAGTGATAACGGTGCTTCTGTAGATTTCTACCCAGGCATTCGTGGCTCTCAGAGAGAGCTACACGTGATCATTAATAGGTCAGTCTCAGGAAAATCACCGCGATGGTAATTGGCTGAGCCTAATAATAGTGTACGCTAATTTTAGTTTAAAGTCAAGCCATAGTTTTAGCTTTTAAAAATAACACAAATTCCTTTTTTTTCAGTCCAGTCACATTAACAACACATTAGCTTCTCTGCTGGAAAATGGCAAGTTCATGGTTTTTTGTTATTGTTTTTCTATTTATTTAGTTATTATTAAAATAAAATTAAATTCTTATTTCCACAATAAATTAGCTTTGTTACAATGTGTTGAATACCAAGATTTCACTAGATGTCAGACATAGTCTCTCAACCTGTATTTTAGTTTTTGAGACATCTTTTTTGTGTTGTTTGTTTGAGACAGTTTCTCTCTTTGTAGCCCAGGTTATCCCGGAACTTGCTCTGTATATCAGGCTGGCCTCAGACTCACAGAGATCCCCCTGCCTCTGCCTCCCGAGTGCTGGGATTAAAGGCTTGTGCCACCACAGCTCGGCGTGAATGTAATCTTATATATTCCCAGGTCCGCTGCTTAGCTGGAAGCTGCTAATATTAGCTTTCCCCACGCGCATTAACTCACCTGTTGCTGGTTCCTCCAAGTCATCTCCTCAGTTGTCCAGAAGAGAGTCCATGTTCCAGCAGCAGCCCCAGCTGTATCAGAAAGTAAGGAGCCCCGCAGTCAGAGTCACTGGGGTTCCAGTGGGCGCAGATCTTAGCAGCCCTGCTGTCCTGAGACACTGGGGTTCCAGTGGGTACAGATCTTAGCAGCCCTGCTGTCCTGAGACACTGGGATTCTCTGTGGGCGCAGATCTTAGCAGCCCCGCCGTCCTGAAACACTGGGATTCCTGTGGGAGCAGATCTTAGTTACTTCTGCCACTGTGACTAAGCACCATGACCAGGATAACTCATAAAAGAAAGCGTTTAACTTGGGACTTGCCTACAGTCTCAGAGGATGGGTCTGTGATCATTCAAACATTGATCCTTTTGTGGGGGGCCATTCCCCGTTCAAACCCCCATAGTGACAGTCCACAGCAGAGGACTTCATCAAAGCTGCTGGCCCTTAGCACCTGGTTTGGAAACCCTCTGGGTGTCGCGCACTGTGCCCCAGTGTCTGCGCTCTGTGCGCTATTACCCAGTCCGCGAGTTTCGGGCAAGGGAGCTGGAGGTTTAGAATACACAGACACACACAGCCAGAGAGACAGCGACATGGGTCATCCTTGAATTCCCCAAGAATTCTCTCTTTATTGTGTTCAGGGGCAGATTATATAGCGATAGCCACGCCCCAGCCAAACCCACCAGAAACCACTCTCCTGCCATCAGGAACTCCTGAAGGTCTCGTGCTCAGAGCAGCTGTAGGCACTCAGATCAGGGGAAAACAAGTTGTTTACAAGAAATTCAGGATCTGGGGTCTCACTGCTCCCAACATCTGGGAATGTTTTTTACTCCTTGTACCCAGAAGTCTCCCTCTCTAATACTCACATACTGCAGAATGACATTCCGGCCAAGGACTGACCTCCTGTATGGTGACAGGACCAGTGTGAACGGCAGCCTTAGCCGTGTGTAAGGAGAAGAAATGTAACAATGAGTTCAGCCGAGTGTTATCCCATCATGTCCCAGTGTAAGACTGTTGTGGTGGAGTCCCGATGAATTCATGTTGTCATCCCAGTTCCAGCACGGGAACTAGACAGACATTTCTTCAGAGAGGTTCACGTGGCCAGCAGCACCAGTCAGAGATACATTAAGCCACAGTGACCCAGGATGTCGCTCCAGAAAGAGTGGCTGTTGTCGGAGAGACGAAAGAAAATAGCTGTGAAGCTGTGGGAAGAGCCTTGTATTCTGTCGGTGTGAACGTGAAGTAGTTCACACTCCGGAAAACAGTGTGAAGGGTTCTCAAAGTGGTAACGTGACCAAACGCTACCACAGTCACACTTCTGGGGACATTTCCAAAGGGAGTGAAATCGATATGTCAGAGGCGTTCGCACTTCCCTGTTAATTGAAACACTCCTCACAATAGCTGAGGAATGGAAGCAATCTAAGCGTGTCCGTGTGTGAACGGATAAAGAAAATGCGTTAGAAACAAACAGTGCGACACTGTTGAGGGTCAGAGAACAGTCGGGTCACTTGTGATGAAGTAAATGAAATGAGATTATTGTGTTGAAGGAAACAAGCGAACTACAGAAAGACAGGGCCTGTGGGATGCCAGTCAGAAGAATCAGAGAGTTAATGTCCTAGAATCTGACCATAGTAGAATCGTGGTCCCTAGAAGCCCGGGAGAGCGGCAGTAGTGGGTGCGGAAGGCATCAAGTCCCGCTAGAGTGGGAAGCCCTGTGCGCTGTTGTACAGAGATGGCTGCACACAACATGTATTTCACAAAGCTAGGATAAGTCATCTTTAATGTTTCTGATTTTGTATTTGGTGTCAATATGATAAACATTTAAGATAAATACAGTTAAACGTTACAGCATGGATCACAACGTCACGTGGTAACCCCCTGGTGTCAGCAACCTTTACCATCTTATTATTGGTTGAAATGGGTCTGGTGTGTGCTTCCCAGGCTGATTTCGGCTCCAGTAGCCCTGCACCCCAGTCTCCAGACTGCAGCACTCGGTTCCAGCATACACATGTTTCAGTCCTTCCAAACTCAGACGTGCCCTGTAGCCTGTGTGTCCTGTAGCCTGCGTGTCCTGTAGCCTGCGTGTCCTGTAGCCTGCGTGTCCTGTAGCCTGCGTGTCCTATAGCCTGCGTTCTGTGTTTGTGGGCAGCTAGCTTGCTGGTGCTTTGGAAGGTGGCTCTGGTGGTGCTGAGCGTCACAGTGTTTTTAGGAATTTTCCCAGCTGCAGTGCTTCCCCTGGACATTGAGGCTTTCTCTTCAGTTTTCTTTAGCATTATGTGTGTCCAGTATATATTTTTCATATTTTAATTCATCTGCGTTTCATCTTTTGTTGTGTGACATACACGTTCCCCATGGATTTGTTAATGCGCCAACCACAGCTATTTTAGAATCACTGACAAAAGTCCCTGGATCTGGGCGTGGCGGCCTGTGCCTGTAGGCCCAGCATTTCGTGGCAGGCTCAAGGCCAGCCTGAACTGCCAGAGATCCTGCCTCCTCCCACAGCAAACAATAATTATTATCTCAACACCCAAAGCATCTCTGGGTCTGGTGTCGCTGACGTCCTAACGCCCACGATGTGCTGTTTTCTTTGTTGCCTTTTATTCCTAACTTGTAAAGTTTTATTAAATGTTTGATGCTGTATATAAAAGACCACTGGAAACAGGTAAAGATTATTTGTGTCCAGACATGAGCAGATCTTTGTTTGAGGTTAGGGCAGTGCTTACACTGTGTGTCCTCAGTATTCTTGTGTTGCTTTTCTTCATCAGCGGGCTCTTGGTGTGGCTGAGTGTGGATGGTGTGAAGTGGGCCTTGCCCTTCTCTCGTGGCAGCACGCTGCTGGTCCCCCTCCTGCTGGTGTAGGCTAGGGTTCTCTTCCCTCATCTCCTCCTTCGCTGTGCCTATGAAACACCTTTTGAAAACCTTTGAGGGTCACTAGCTCGCGAATCTGGAGCTTCTCTATGGCTGTGCTGGCCCACGTGCAGGGTGTTTTCTTTTCCTCACTGACTGAGTGAAGAAAGGATTTGAGGGTCCCGTCTCACCTCAACTCTACCGCCTCCGAGTCGCGGAGAGGCCGCTTCTAGGTTGAATGTGGGGCTTCCCCAAGTTACCTTAGTCAACTCCTCATTTGTTTTCTTTAGTGAGCTGAGAAAGTAGCAAGCCTGCCAATTTGAATAAATCCAGCTTATTTCTTCTCTCATTAAGGTGATAAACATGAATATTTTGCTACCTAGTTCTGTGAAGTGATTGCAAGAATGATTTTTATAAATTACCCATTCCGCTGTTCTTCCACCTCCGACAGCTAATCAGATTTGAAAATAATGAGGGTGATTTTTTTTATTATGATTTTTGGTTTATCTATCTGAAAAAGAAACCAACACCTCAGGAAAAGTTTTGTTTCATCGGCAAGAACATGACTGGAGAAGGCTTGCCATGGTGGGACTGATGAGGAGAAGGTCACCTGATTGTTTTTCCCAATGTCTCAGGTATCGGTGGCAATTTGGTGGCCATTCAGGCCAGCAGGATTTCTACCTACCTCCATTTACACAGCATCCCTGGAGAGCTGCCCGAAGAGCCCACAGGGTGTTCCTACCCATTTAGGACGTTCTTTGGCTCAGGTAAGTGTCGGGTGGGTTGTGTGGGCTTTTGTCAGGAACTGCTTCCGGCTGAGATCTGGGGGCAGCATTTGCTGAGTTGATGCTTTGTGAAATGTTGTGCTGAGCTAATCTCAGGAGACAGAGGCCTTCTGCCTCCCCAAGCCTGTGCGTGCGTGCGTGTGTGCGTGCATGCATGCATGCTTGCGTGTAGCTGGGGCCATTGCACGCTTTATTCCTGTCTCTGTTGGTTAAGAAAGAGGATCTGTACTCTTCTATTTTTGGTTGGGAGCCCAACCTTTAACAGCTGAGCCGTCTCTCCAGCACTCAGGAGGCAAAGACAGGCTGATCCCTGAGTTGAGGCCAGCCTGGTCTACAGAGCGAGTTCCAGGACAGCCAGAGATAGACAGAGAAACCCTGTCTCGAAAAAACAAAACAAAACAAAAAACAAAAAGGAAGGAAAGAAGGGAGGGAAGAAAGGAGAGAGAGAGAGAGAGAGAGAGAGAGAGAGAGAGAGAGAGAGAGAGAAGAACCATACGTACAAATACAAAGCACCTGTGACTTAGGACAGACAGATTGACTTTCCTTTCTGTGTTGTTGCTTTTTGACCCTTTAAAATGTGGGTATTTACTCTGAAACAGGACATTAGAAGGCAACCCAATGATGGGGAACAATACACAGTTTATATGAACAGATGTGACTGCCCGAAAGCTGCGGTCATTCTTTCATGTGTGTGGGTGCTGGCCTGCAAGTGTGTCTGTGCCCCACTGGTATGCCCGGTGCTCTCAAAGGCCGCAAAGGACATTGGGTCCTAGAGAGAGCCCCAACACCGGTCCTCTGGAAGAGCGGCTGTGCCCCTAACCACTGAGCATCTTGGGCTCGTTATCAGTGATGGGACAGTTAAAGACTGCCTGCCCTTAGCGTCCCGTTCTCCTTCTGTTTCTATGGTAGACACAAGCAAGGTTTGTTTGGTTTCTCTGTGTAGCCCTGGTTGTCCTAGAACTCACTCTGTAGTCCAGGCTGGCCCCAAACTCAGAGGTCTGCCTGCCTCTACCTTCCCAAGTGCTGGGATTAAAGGTATGCTCCACCATGCCTGGCTCAAAATAATTTTTTAAACAGCTGTTTTTTTATTTGATTTTATAATTGCATCTAATAGTAGAATTCCCAAGAATTATGTGACTTGTAAATGAGATTTATTCTTAGCAGTTGAATTGCTGTAATACTGTGAGCTATAGTAATGAGAACATAACTTTCAATGTGTTGTTTTGGCTTTCTGAAATAGGGTCTCACAGTCTGGCTGGGGCCGGGGTGTGGGGGGCTTGAACTCAAGGTGCGGGTGCCTCAGCACCGTGGGGTCACAGACACCCACGCTTGTCCTCTGACTTGGATTACCAGGCACAGTTTCTAGAGTCATTTTATTTTTCCACCAGCACTGGGGCTTGAACCTTGTGAGTGCTAGACCAGCAACCTGCTGAGCCGCACCCCAGCAGTGACCGTCAGTGCTATCTTTAATGCTGTCTGCATTCTCTTGTAGGTGTGAACAATAAGTCTGCCCAAGTTCTTCTGCTCCTGGTGGTTCCCGGCCACTTGATTTTCCTGTACACGATTCACCTGATGAAGAGCGGCCACACCTCTCTGACTGTCGTCTTCGTCGTTGTGTACCTCCTTGCTGCTGTGCTACAGGTGAGAGGGACAAACCTCCTCAGATCTTAGGCTTGGAGGCTGGGAACCTGTCGTGATGGACTTCTACAGCGCATGGCGTAGTTAGAATCTCAGAACTTCTACAGTGTAGTTAGAATCTCAGAACTTCTACAGTGTAGTTAGAATCTCAGAACTTCTACAGCGTAGTTAGAATCTCAGAACTTCTACAGTGTAGTTAGAATCTCAGAACTTCTACAGTGTAGTTAGAATCTCAGAACTTCTACAGTGTAGTTAGAATCTCAGAACTTCTACAGTGTAGTTAGAATCTCAGAACTTCTACAGCGCATGGCATAGTTAGAATCTCAGAACTTCTACAGCACACAGCGTAGTTAGAATCTCAGAACTTCTACAGTGTAGTTAGAATCTCAGAATGTCTACAGCATAGTTAGAATCTCAGAACTTCTACAGCGCACGGCGTAGGTAGAATCTCAAAACTTCTACAGCGCACAGTGTAGTTAGAATCTCAGAACTTCTACAGCACACAGCGTAGTTAGAATCTCAGAACTTCTACGGCGTAGTTAGGATGGCCTCAAACAGTGATCCGCTGACCTCTGCCTGTGCATATGGGGTCACGGTGGTGTTCACTATGTCTGTGTGTACAGGGTCATGTGATGTTCACTACATTATGTCTGTGCGTATGGGGTCACATAGTTTTCACTATGTCTGACACTTCATGGTCTTCATGGTTACCCGGCTTCCTTCAAACTTAAAAATTCTGTTTTGTTACCTATTTCCTTTTTAGATTTCTACTCCTCTTTCTGTGTTGTGTAGAAGACTTTATTTTAGAAATTTTCTTTTATGTAAACAAACCCCTTACTCATGCTCTTGTAAAACAACTCTGATGAAACACGTTAGTTCTCACAGAAACATTGACACACGCACACACACAAATACACACTTACACTCACAGTGCACTCACACGCTCTCGTGCAAACACACGCTCGCACACTCTTGCACATGCGCACATTCACACTCACACCTGCACTCATACTATCATGCACGCACACAGATACACACTTGCACATGCACACATTCACACTCACACCTGCACTCACGCTATCATGCATGCACACATATACACACTTGCACATGCACACATTCACACTCACACCTGCACTCATGCTATCATGCACGCACACATTCACACTTGCACACACTCACACGTTCTCACACAGAAGGGGTGCTGACTGAAATGGAAGGAGATTGGGAGAAGTAGGACAGGGCGAGAGAGGTAGTGGATGGGACGTCTGTGTATGGAAATACAATGTAACCCATTAGCATGTATAATTAATATATGCCAATGAGCAACATTTAAAGGTATGCTGCTATAATAAATATACACATTTTAAAAATTAAATAGATCAAAAGGTTCTACTTCCTTAGATCTATTTCTCAGACCATCACTTTGAAATATTTTAGCTACTTTTTCTGCCATTATTTGTACGTTTTAAAGTAACATGCCTAAACTTCAAGTTTATAAGTCGGGGCTTTAGGGCCATTATAATCATATTTCCTATATATATATATATTTTTTTTTTTGATTTTTCGAGACATGGTTTCTCCGTAGCTTTTGATTCCTGTCCTGGAACTCGCTCTGTAGACCAGGCTGGCCTCCAACTCACAGAGATCCGCCTGCCTCTGCCTCCCGAGTGCTGGGATGAAAGGCATGCTCTACCACCGCCCGGCATATTTCCTATATATTTTAAGAATATGAATTTTCAGTATACAACTAAGACTATTTTAATGTTTTTATTGTAAGGCAGATGGTATTTCCTTGTTTGTGTATTTTCCTTGGCATTAATTCTTTTTTTAACTTGGGTCTCTCCCCATAATCCCAGCCTTGGTGTTCCCTGTTGCCCCACCTTCTCCCCCTCCGGCTTCTGGTTTAACTTCACAGACTTGGTGCCTCCTTCAGGAGCAGATTAAAATAAGGCCTGGGGTGGAGTTTGAGTTTGGCCTTCAGGGAACTGGAGATGAAGGCAGAAGAAGCCTCTGGCCTCTGGAGAGTCTGCTGTGTGTGCTACCCTGCTTTCCCAGGACTGCCCGTGTTCTGGGAGATCCGGTCTGTGCTGGGAAGCAGTGGCTTTCAAAGTGCAGATCCATCAGTGTTTATAGAAATAAAAATTAAAGCTTCTGTCTGCCGGATGTGTTTAAAGTATATTTTATTATCTTTATAATTGCTTGATAATAAACATTAGCACCGTATTTAGTAAGTGTGCTCAGATACTCTACAAGAGAGCAGCACAATGTGGGGTCCTAGATTGCTGAATTAATACACAGAGTGAGAGAGGAAGGAACCGTGCCAGGAAAGGAAAGGCGTGTATATACGGAATCCGAGGTGGTGGGCTGAGGGGAAGCCTGGTGTGGAAAGAAAGGCCCTAAATGCCCAGTAAGGGCGGCTGGGTCAGGTTCCCAAACAACCAGGTCCTTACAGAAGTCACCACAATGCTTTCTCATCCTCCAATTTTACCACGCCACTATTAAGTTTATTTTTTATTTATTCAGTAAATCTTCATTTGAATCGATGAAGGGGTGTCTCTTAAGTCCCGAGAGCAATGAATCCACACACAGTTGAAGGGCTTGTGGCCTGACACTCTGGAGCACACGTGTGTGCTGTTGTGTAACTGCTTGTGTGTGGCGTTCTCAGGCCGTTGGCCTGGGGACTCAGGTTTCCCCGTTAGTAGACGTGGCATTTTTTCCCAGTGCTTTCGCTGCTGTGCGTGTGTATTGCTCAAGAGCTGGTCATCGTAGCGCTGACTGCTCTCTTCAGTCCTGAGGGAAGCACAGAAATCTGGCCTGACCTGCAGTTTCTAGAGCAGCTCCTGGGTATGGCTCTCCCCTGCTTTCCGGGATCACGGCTGCTGTGTCCGCGTCTGTGTGCTGTGCTAGCCTGTAAGCAGAAGAAAATAGACGTCATTTTTCAGAGATAATTTACTAAACATTTTATTTAAAAAAGAATTATATTTTATGTGCTTTGATGTTTTGCCTCCATGTCTGGGTGAGGGTGCCAGGTCCCCTAAAAGTGGATTTACACACATTTGTGAGCTGCCGTGTGGGTGCAGGGAATTGAACCCGGGTCCTCTGGAAGAGCAGCCAGTGCTGCTGAGCCATCTCTCCAGCCCCCCCTTTACTATCTTTAATTATTATTTATTTGCTGTAATTATTTGAGGTAATGAAATGAAATTATGACCTGGGGAGGGGGCAGGGCTGTCTTATTAACTGTGTTTGCAAAAGTAAGGGGCCATTTGTGTTGTTGTTGACATCTTCAGAGTGTCGAGCTGTTCCTGAGGCTGGATACCTTCGTGTCTCAGCACCGCCTGCCATTACCCAATGGGGCACGTCTGTCAGGCTGCTGGGGCGTGTTAGCCTGGGTCAGCGCAGTAGGCTTGCCTCTTCTTAGAAGCTAAGGACTGTAGCATAGCAGTGTCAGGGGCGCCTGCAGATACCAGAAGTCACGAGCCAGCCCAGCTTCGATCTTTCACCGTTTATACTACATATGCCTCTTAAAATTTTATAAATTATACTTATTTGCATGTGTGTGTAGATCAAAGGAGTACTTACTTGCAAGAGTCCTCTCCTTCCTTCGAGAGTGAACTCAGTATGGAAGGCCCATGGCTTTATGTGTGTGAATACAGATGCACGTGTGCATGATGCACGCACGTGTGCCGTGTTGCACGTGGGGGTCGTGTTTGCCACAGCATATGCTGAAGTAGCGCTCCAGGGACCGCCCTGTCCCTGTCTCCTGGCTGTAGGAGCAAAGCGTTTGTAGCTGGCTTTGCGAGGGTTCTGGGGATCTGAACTCAGGTCCTCATGCCTGCGTGGCAAGTGCTTTAACAAACGCTGAGGTCATCTCTCCAGACCTTCAGAAAAGATTTCTGTTCGGGTTTTTTTTTTTCCAGTAGCCTTAGGGCACTGTCGATCTGAGGCCCTTTTAAAATATCCAGCCCAGGATGTTCAGTCCACGTGGCTCATTTGATGCTGGATTCAGTTCCTTGAAAAGCCGTTGTGGTTATGGATTTTTTTCTTAGGGATGATTTTTTTTTCTCCCCATGTAGTTAGACAAATGTCCCTCTTTGAGGACAGGTTTACTTCTTATGGAGGGAGGGAGTTTTAGTCTTCGAATCTTCTGTTAGATGTCCCACCTGGGAAAGATTTTGTCTTTACCTTCTGTTCCCTGTGCTGCTCAAAAAATTAAATACTTCTGCTGACCGATAACCTTGAATTACCCCAGACATTTAAATACTAGATCTCAGCAGCGTTTCCATCCTGGAGACCGGACTAGAGGAGGCCATTTATAGGGACATGGATTCAACCTTTGCAGAGCCCGGTTAGGAAGGACTGTGCTCATTTCTATTCCTGAGGTTTATTTGTGTCCTGTTCCTAAGCGTCCCTCCCACAACGCAGTCATCCTTCCTCACACAACACACAAGGCTGCTGTTGGCAGGCACAGCACTAAAGAGACGCTAATGCATGCGAGTGTTGGTCTGGCCCAGAGGAGCAGCCCGCCTAGAAAGTCAGTAGCATCCAAAGCAAATATATATATTCTTGTGCTTGTGTATTTATTTAAATTCCAGACAGTACGTTTATAACTTGCATGATTAACCAGGGCTACAAAGTTGCCTTCTGAGGAGGCATATTTACCCAGAGAAGTGATGCATATTTCATAGAGAGCCGACGATGTTAGGACACAGTGTACCCTTGCTTTGGTGTCTGCTGTGGAAAGCGTCTGTGTCTTGATCAGTGATTTAACTTCGAGGCAAAACACGTTGCAATAAGAAGACTCTGATACCATGATCCTCATAATTTACACCCAGAGGTCCAAGAAAACACTAATATGTCTTGATAACCTTTAAAAAGTTTTAAAAACGGAAACCTGTTTGAACATTGTGAGAACGCTTTTAAAAAGACACCATGCTAGAAGCTGGTTTGATTCTGTGGCCTGTGGTGCAGAGGAAATGGAAGGAGAATGTGGGGGAGAGAGCAAAGAGGGGGCGCAAAGACTGTTGTGTGTGACCACGTATGACAGCAGGCTCCTTCCTCTGTGGTTCACAGCTGGGACTCACAGCAAAGGCAAGACCACGCATTTGAGAGAGGCTTGGAGGTGAAACGTCACAGCGCTCACTGGTGTTAGGAGCCAGTGCGCACTCGTTTGTTCCAATTACCTTTTCAATAAAAGCCACGGATTCTGAACCGACAGCGCTAGCGTTTATGGAAGGCTTGAGGAATCAGGCAGAGCTGTAGCTCTATAGAGCACCTCGTTCTGTGCTGCAGTGTATTTTCTGGGTTTGGAGGAGGTGCAAGGTGGGTGCCTTTTTGGAGCAGAGGCGTTGCTTCAAGACCAGCCAGATCCTGCTACTGGGTCTAAAGCTTGTGGCACTCTGAGGCAGGACTGCAAACCGCTGGCTCTGGCAGCTGGTCTGGGATCCTTGTACCTTTCTGCTTTGAGGCTTGTTTTGTTTTCTCAAATCAGTAGACACTCAGATTAATAAGGAACCGGCCAGAAGAATAAATTGAGATTCAAATCCAATGGTTTTGAGACAGTTTCATTATGTACCATAAACCAGGCCTTGAACTCACTCTGTGACCTGTGAACTCATAGCAATCCTTCTTTGTCTCTCAAGGGCTGAAATTACAAACCAAATTCCAAATCTTACAATACATAAGTTCAAGACTCTAATATTCTCTGCTCCCTACACACTCAATGCAGTATCTGAATTAGCTTTATGTGGTTGCAGGCGACCTTGGCCAGTGGAGCAGTAAGGAAAGTAAGCTTCACGCAGGGGTGCCAGGGCCCGGAGGTGCAGGTGCTGTCTCTGGCACTTACCCCTGGGGATCTTACCTTTGGCACCTGTCTCTCAGATTTGGACAAGCCACGCTGTCCAAATCTCCTCCTCTGGTAAGGGGCCAGAGCTAGAATGGCCGTCCTTGGCCATTTGAAACCCAAGGCAGAGAAGAAAACACCACAGACCACAGGTGGATGGAGGCGAGACGCTGCTCCAGCATCTGGAGTCTAGGCTTCTCTTGTTAGTCCTGTTAACTAGCTGTCTCTTCTCAAGCATGCTTCTTGACCTGGACATAGGCTGCTCCTCCCAGAAACAAGCAGCTCAGACCCTTGGCCTTGTTCAGGGCAGGGAGATGCAGCTGACAGTGGTCATGTCTGGTTCTCTCTTACAGGTGTTCACCCTGCTGTGGATCGCAGACTGGATGGTCCATCGCTTCTGGAGGAAAGGGAAGGACCCGGACAGTTTCTCCATCCCCTACCTGACGGCGCTGGGTGACCTGCTCGGGACAGCTCTGCTGGCCTTAAGTTTCCATTTTCTCTGGCTTATTGGAGACCGTGATGGCGACGTGGGGGACTAACGGGTCCTCGAAGCTGTTGCAGCCCCCCCCCCCGGGGAGGAGAACACAAGGCAGCTACTGCTGCCCCTCCCGTCCCCAAAGCTCTTCATCAGTCGTGTGACTTACGCCAGGGTCGTCTGCGGTTTTCACCCTGACTCCATACATGGCCTTAATGTACTTTTTAAGGAATTTGTGCTGGAACCACAATGAACGGTATTTGTGCTGCTTTTTGTAGAATAAATAATTTGACACAGACATAGATACAAGCTCACACTCTAAAATTACTTAGGAAAGAATATAGGATGTTTACAATGAATCGTGTTGAAACCACAGACCTAGCAGACATGTACTTTACTATTAAGTTACAATGCAAGGTTAGAGGCCAGGGAGCTTTAGTCTTCTTTGTCCTAGATCTGTGTCCCGCTACAAAGATACCGTGACCTGAAGGCACCAGCCCAGCTTCCCTGAGTGTTAACTGTGCCCTCCTCTGTGGGAGCTGAGGTTGCCAGTCACCGAGTCCTAAGCTGACTGCATCCATCCTGCGGAGCTAGCGACAGACTGACTTCTACGCCTGTTTAAAACTGCCCCGTGCCAATGTTCGTTTAATTTCCGTTCTCAGCAGGTAACCCCTGAAGTCGGGGAGAAGGGGCTCACCGTGTTACCCCAGCAGGCCTTGGACTTGCAGTCCCTCCTGCTTCTGCTCCGTCCATCCTCCCGATTCTAAAGCACTGGGCCTTTGCTCTTTCGTGGGTTGAAGAGCTTTGATCTGATTTAGAAAACAGTCCTCAAAGCAGAAGATGAGTTGAGCTGTGTTTGTGGGCACAAGATAGTGTGTGTGTGCGTGTGAACGTGTATGCACGTGTGTGTACATGTGCGTGCCCTCGAGTGCATGTGCATGTGTTTGTATGCGTATAAGCGAACGTGTGTGAGCGTGTAGGTAGGCCTGTGTTCCAGAATGTGTAAACATGTGTTTGAGCATGTGTGAGTGTATGTGTGCATGTGTGAAAAGAGACAGACAGATAGCAACGAGAGAGAACAACACAGAGAGACACAGAGAAACAACGTAATTTCTTTTTCTACAATAAGTATCATTTGATGTAACACAGACCTAAGAATTGGGAAGAGCAGGTGGCCCTGTGGCTCTGTAAGGCACTCTGCCCGTCAGTTTCCCTCTGAAGGAGAAGTTGTGGCCGACCTCATTAGCATCTCATCGCGGGCTTCATCGGCAGAGACCATCTCAAACATTTTTCTGAAACTCCGGAATATTCTGTGCACCGGACTGGCACCTGGCTAGTCAGTAGGAAGCCCTTTCAGATCACTAGTACTTAGAAAACTGCAGTGCAATCTTTAAGACCATTGACTATTTAATAATTTAAGCTGCTGAGGGAATAAAGTTCACATGGCATTGATCGTCATGTTGAGTTTGTGTTGTGTAACTAACAGGTGGATTGCTGTATATGGAGGAAGTATTCTTACTCAGTCTTTACAAAGGCTGTGCTTTAGAGTTATATATTTTTGCTCATTTTTAAACTTCATTCAATTCTTCTGCCTTATAATCAAACTTTGAAGGCACAGTTTGAACTAACTTTGGGCCCTCTCCTTTAGAGAGTCACGTCAGAGTGAACACTGATAAAAAAAAAAGCTTAAAGTTTATGTTGATGAATATGTAGTTGCAATGATTATTTTATGCTTTAAGAAATTGATACTACCTTTCATATTATTATAAAGTATTTGTGAATTTGGGTTTTGCATTTGGGCTGTACGTTCTTTTGTTTTGAGACAGTCTTGCTCGGTATCCCAGGTGAGGCTTAGACTGGAGATGCACCTGCCTTAACCTACTGGGAATCTTTAACTCACAAAAAGTGCAGAGTAAGCCCCAGTGTGAGCGCTGGCCAGCAGTCTCAGGCTGCTGTGCCATGCATTCCAAAGCACACGCAAATGCGGACAGCATGGTCTTGCTGTGGATTAAATGGAGTCCGGAGCCCCCATCTGTATTTTGTAGCGGGGCAGGGGGAGGGGGTGTGCAGAGTGACATTTTAAGGCTGCACAGCTGCAGAGCGACCAGACTGTTCTAGACCAGTAGACTTTGTTCTGCACAGCTCTGCCCCACCCCCAATGCACCAAGAACATCCACCTAGGTACCCGAGAGGAAGAAGGCTGGAGAAAGTCCAGTCCAGTGTTACCAGTCTTTCAGACTGCTTGCAGGGACGCCTCCACCTCATGTGTCTCGGTGGTCAGCACAACCAACTCTGAGCTATTCATGCTCCTAAGGTCAGAGAGACCTAAATGAAATAATAAATGCTTTAGCTTATAAAATATTTTCCATCTTATAATGAAGACTTTAGACTAAAGAACAGTGCCTCATTTCTCTCTCTCTCTCTCTCTTTTTTTTTTTTTTTTGTCGTTGTTTTGTTTTGTTTTTGTTTTTCAAGACAGGGTCCTCTCTATGTAGCCCTGGCTGTCCTGGTACTTTGCTTCGTATACCAGGCTGCCTCAGACTCACAGAGATCCCCCTGCCTCTGCCTCCTGAGTGCTGGGGTTAAAGGCGTGCGCCGCCACCTGGTGGTGCCTCATTTCTTCTAAGCACCAACCCTCTTCCTCGACTTGTGGTGCCACAGGACAGTGGGCGGCTGATGCTCAGCCTTTGTCAGACGCACGCAATGGGCAAATGAATTGAAAAGGGATACACACTACTTTAGAAAACAATTGCAGATCTTTGAAAGTCTTACAAGTTTTATTTACCCATAAGATTTATTATCAGTCTTAGGTAAACTAACAGTATTTTTATACCACACAAAATCCTACCTTTCCAAAACTCCCTTTCCACTAATTTACCAGGCACATTATACACATAGCTTTAAAAAAATCATATTTTTTTATTCTTGACCATCCACCTTTTCCTGAAATTTCCAGAGTTTCTTAGAATCTAATAAAATAGAAACACAGGAAGTTCCTTTGTGGAGATATCAGACAACCTCACGCCATAAACTGTTCATGATGAGGCCAAATGAGTCCTTTCAAAGTCTCTCAGTGGTGGGGCGTCCCTTCCTTCCCTGTATCTAGGTATAATTTACCCACTGATGGTCTCTGGCACCTTGGAATTATTGTAAACCCAAGTCAGAATAAAATGTGAGAAGCCTGTTCTTGGGCTGTGGTGGTTTCTTTGTGGATTACCCTTGTCAGCTGTGGAACAGGGAACATGTCTGGAAATCCCCCAGCTGGTCTGCCGTCCCCTCCCCTGTGTTTATGGAGCATGAGAACTGGGCCCTGATGACAGCCGCACCTCCAGCCCACTGCCCACCTGTGCTCTGTCATCCCTCAGAGCCCCGGGGCCATCAGTCTCAAGGCCAGCCTGTCTACAGAGCAATTTCCAGGACAGCCAGGGCTACACAGAGAAACCTTGTCTCAAAAAGCAACAAGGCTCCAAAGAGAAACCCTGTCTCAGAAAAAAAAAAAAAAAAAAATGCAAAGCAGGGGGTTAAAAGTGACTTGATCACGTGGGAGAGTGCGTGGCTATCGCTAACTCTACCTCCGGGGTCTGCCCACGCCCACGCGGCCTTCCCTACACTGTCTGAAGCTCATCTTCCACTGCCCTCCCCCCCCCCCGTTTCTCAGTGTTGGGGCGCTCACCTGTGTCCCCCCCCAGGCCCCTCTTCATTGTTACATCATCTACACTAATTCCTCCTTTACTTTCCCAGTCCAAGCCTATACTTCCCAATGCCGGCGGGCAGCGCCACTCCTTAAAGGACAGACAGCTAGGCGGTGCAGCCACAGCTGTTTTCAAGGGGCTGCTGTACCCGACAGCCACAGGCCACTCGTTAAAGGCCCACTTCCCTCACCGTTGCAGAACTCTGGTAAGTCAGGAAGAAAAGACCAACAACCCAAGAGTGAGGCAGCCCGCGGGGGGAGGGGGACTGGTCCCCGGACACTGACTCTCACTTGTGCTCATTGGACAAAACTCCAGTGCCAAAATGTCTCTTCTTAGGTCCAGAGTGGGCCCCTCTCCAGCCCCCGATACAGCAGTGTCACTGACAGGGTCCTGGGTTCGGGCTGGACCGACAGGTAAAGAGGCCTGCTACTCCAAATCAGCGTTCTCGGAAACCTTGTCAAGAGGGCTACTGTTTGCCAGGAAAGGCGTTACTTTCTTACCCGCCACCTACAGCCCCCCATCGCTAACTCTCTAACTCAAGCAAAGACTCCGGCAGATCAAAGCCTCGCACTGCTTCCCAGGCTGCCCCAGATAACTCGCCCACCGCCTGCCCCCACACACCTCTCAGACTGGCCGGACTCCCGCGTTGCTCTTCCCGCTGACTCTGGGGAGGTAGCCTCCACAGTCTGAATCCGCCCACGGAGCGGTGTAGTCCTGCGGATTCACAGCTCCCTCCCTAAGACCTCCGTTCTCCCCGTGGCGTCACAGCTTCAGGGATAAAGCGCTCCGCTCCGTGTGAGCTCAAGGAATCTGTAAAACAGCTTAAAATCATGAGGGCGGGGCCTTGCAAAGGATATTTACCCAGAAGCCTCCAAGTCCTCGAGACCCCTCGAACACACCTGACTATATTTCCAAACACACAGCGACCTACATCACGGCTCGTTAAGGGCAAAGAAAAGCAGCTGGAGGCAAACTGCCCTGCTGGTTTACGGAGCCATGTCGGTTTACCGAGGGTTAAAAACTTGGACAGACAGAAAGTGGTCTCCCATGGTGCATGACCTAGGGAAAGCCACAAGCCTAATAAGTCACCACAGGGGGCCGAAGAGTGAGTGGGAAAACTGGCAAAGTACATGCTTAGGAGCCACGCAAAGTACACACTTACAAAGTACACGCTTAGGAGCCACGCAAAGTACACACTTACAAAATACACACTTACAAAGTACACACTTAGGAGCCACACAATCAAGTCACAAAAAAAGAAAAACTAAAGGAAAAAAAAACTTAAAATTTTAAGGAAGCATCGGAACTCGTGTGGGACAGCATCCTTGGCTGTCCTCACCACACGGAGCCCATGGGTCACATGGCTGAACATGTCTGCACAGCACAGACAACTGCAGAAGGCAGTTTGAACTAAGGACTGCCTTTGGTTTGCTACACAGTTCCTCTTTTAGTTAATTTCATTTATTTGCCGTGTGTGTGTGTGTGTGTGTGTGTGTGTGTGTGTGTCCTTTTTGTCTGCAGAGGCACGTTGGATTCCCTGGGATTGAGTTACAGATGGTTGTGACTCTCTATGTGAGTGCTGGGACTTGAACCCAGGTCCTCTGGAAGAGCAGCCAGTGCTCTTAGCCACTGAGCCATCTCACCAGCTCCACTGCTCCCCTTGCAAGGACACCCTAAGGATACAGAGTCCGTCTCTGACTATAGACAAATACTCACGATAGAGTCATGGCACAGTATCTGAAAATGGTGTTTTGTTTCTCTGGCTCCTCAACAATTTCTGCTGGTAGCATTTCCAAACTTAAACAGAACAAAATGGGAAATGCCTGTTTGCGGAGAGAATTTGTTTGTGGATGGCTAATTCGGTTTGGCACACTCTTGTGAGTTCGTAGGGCTTCGTATTAAAGAGACTTGTTTTATTGGACAACAATGTAAGCCACTTTGGACCATAAGTGAAGTTAAGTCTGTTATTAGGTGCCATGTGTGAAAGAATTCTTTTTCTTGACGTAGAGGAGTTCCAAGGGTGCTCAGTGTTCCTAGCAGGTAACACGTGGGAAGACCAATGACTTACATCTGGAAAAAGTCCGTGGCATCAATGAGGGTGACATTCGGAAGACACAAAGCATCCAACACTTAATTAGTAAAACACGTACTATCACGTACAATTCTAATCTCCCCAAACCTCTCCCCAGACTTTTCATGACATGGAAGTGGAAAAGCAAATTGTGTTTGTGCGCATTGACTAACCCCTGTCCCCCTCCACCGCCCTCCCTCTACAGCCCCACCCCCTACCCCACCTCCCTCCACCATCCCTGCATCCAGTGGCTCGAGGGACAAAAAGCAAGTGCCATTCAAAGGAAGTAATACAATTCAGGCAGGAGCAGCTACGGCCTCAGGAAGGGAATGAAGCCTCCTCAGCATTGGCTGTGTACATTCAGGCCTTATTTTAGGGTGAACAGCCATATCCGGTCCTGGTTCAGCTCACGCAAAGCCAGCGCCAGCTGCTCACGGCTGCCCCTGCTGGAGGAAACAGGAACTGCAAAGAGAGCGGGCGCCCTCCAGCTGCAGACCAGGGCGAGCATCTCTTTGGCAGGTGAGGAGAAAGGGTCCTGGAAAGAGAGGTCACTGGGGAAGCAGAGGCTGCATTTGGCGTCTTCCTCTATCGTTCTCCCTCTTATTTAAAAACTATTTTTGTTACACTGTTAGGGGGGTGGATGCATGTGGAGGCCAGAGAAAACTTTCTGGAGTTGGCTTGTGGATCCTGGGGACTGAGCTTGGTTCTTCAGCCTTGGAGACAGACACATTTATCCACTGACTATCTCATTTCATTTATTTGTTTGTTTGTTTGTTTGTTTGTTTTTTGAGACAGGGTCTCTGAGCCTGGGGCTCAATAATTCAGCTACATGGGCCGCCCATCAAGCCCCTGGGATCCATCTGCCTCCCCGGCACTAAGGTCCAGACACACGCTGGTACATCTAGCTTTGGTGGGTGCTGTGTCTCAACACTCAGGACCTCATGTTTATACAGTGAACGCTTTGCTGCTGAACCATGTGCCCAGCCCTGCCACCCAGGTTTTGCTGGAGAGATACTGAGCAGGTCCGAGCAATCCCATCAGAGAAGAACTGTGGATCCTTTCTCCAGAGACTGTTTGCAGATCAAGACGCTTTACGGGGCCCTGCTAAAAATCTGGACAAAGGATGACGTGGTTAGTGGCCTCAGAGGAATAAAATACATTGACCATTCTGCAGGGGTTTAAAACCACTCGGTGTGGGGTAACGGGCACAATTAACACCGAAATTAGACAGAATGTGTACATAATTGAGACTATTGAGCGTAGCTATTGACTATACCACCCCTGGTCTGCGGATTAGGCAACCCCACAATGTATTAGAGAATGCAATTAGCAAGACCTTATTGGATTTTATGACTGGTTCCAGGATAGATTTGCATGGAAAAACTTGGTAGGTGGCTTTCTAAGAATAACCAAGTGACCGTCATTTGAGTTTTGAGTGGATAAATAATGCCAGTAGCGGCAACCTAATCCCAGTCACCCTCCCTCCCCACTTCTCTCGAGTCTCCAGGGGCTCCCACGCCCTATCAAGTGGCTTCTTCAGCTTAGCCAACGCGATCTTTCTTAGTTCTTTATCATTCACTTCCATCTTCTGTTTGATCTCCCAGCTCCTGCGTGGCTGACTGCTGTCAACACTGGCCTGAGTGCTGTTTACTGAGGGAGGGAAAAATACTTCAAGTCGATAAGCCCCAGTCGGGAGAAACAGATGACTGTTGGAACCTGTCAGGAAGCCTGTCACTGCCGTGGTGGGTCAATTGGTTTCCATTACTGTAACAAGGGTCTAATCAACTTATAGAGAGAACGGGTTTGTGTTAGCTCCTGCATTCAAAGGTCCCGGTCCATGATGGGCTGGTCCCAAGGCATAGGAGCAAGTGATGATGGACGGAGGGTGTGGCAGAATGAAACTGGCCGGCCACATCAGGGCTGGGCGCCTCGTGGGTGATGTCAGTTCATGGTGTTGAACAACAACAACAACAACAAAATCCTCCTTTACTTCTGGGAAAGCGTCTAGGGCTTTTTGATAGCTTCCTGCTTGTTATTTTATGCTCTCGGGGTCCCAGTCAGCTGGGTATTGGACCGCCTGGGTAGATGAACCACCTCCCTCACCTCTCTCTCTTCTCTTGTGATTTTAAATATTCTTTCTGTGCGTTTTCTTCAGTTTTATCTCCCCATTGTTTTGCTGAATTCGTGTAGGCTAAGTTATTTTTAATTTTCTAGAACCTCTTTTATTATCTCATTCTCGGCACCTCTAGTTTTATGTAAACAATATCCCTGCTCACCTCTTGGCTGTTCTGTTTTCATGCTCTCTGTTTCCTCTGGGCTTATTTTTTTTTTTTCCCTCTTTGGTCCATGCGTTTTCTTTTGCTTTCTGACTATCTGGGGGCTTCATTCAGGAGCCCCATACAGCCGTCGGTGGTCAGTGGTGAAGAATTAAATTGTTAATACAAGAGTTGGATGTTCCCAGAGAGAATGTCCTCTGGGCCCACCTGGTAGATGTATTGATTACAAGGCCCATCCCCATACCAGCTGCCCAGGGTCAGCAGCGAGACAGCCTTGTCTGTGTGTGACCCTAAGCTCAGTCCGTACAGGGTGTCATGGTATGACCGTACCTTCTGCCCTAGCAAGCTCGTGTTGAAATGAGATTGCCTCTGGGACACTCTGGGCAGGACACAGGAGAGACACTTGGGCCCCGAGACTCTGCTCTCACCATGGGTTGAGGTCTTTGTCATGTGGGTGCCTGTTAAGAGGGTGGGGTGTTCTTGTTTTCCCTTTCTCACGAGTCTGCTTCTCTTCCTCCTTGTTATGATACAGCAAGAAGGCCTTTCCCAGGAGTTGGTACTACCCTGGTGACTTTGCAGCCTCCAGAACCATGAACCAAACTACTTACTTTTTGTAAATAAATACCCAGTCTCTGGCACTCTGGTATAGCAGCAGGAAGTGGGCTAGGGGACCATATCTTGCTTTTACATTCTTCGAGGCCGACTGATGGACAGGTACGAGCACTCCTGCTTATTCATGTCTGTGTTACCCAGAGTCTTAAGAAATGGCTTCCCAGGGCTGGAGATATGGCTCAGCAGTTAAGAGCACCGGCTGCTCTTCCAGAGGTCCTGAGATCAAACCCTAGCACCTACAGCATCTATAACTATAATCCCATGAAATTCAATATTCTCGTCTGGTGCGCTGATGTACATGCAGACAAAACACTCATGTACATAAAATACATAAATAAGTAATGATGTGGGAGTGTCATATATCAATCTGTTGATTTCATTGGTTAAGTTATAATAAACCAGCTGCTTGGCCTCATGGCTTGGAACATAGATGGGAGGAGTAAACAGAATAGAATTCTGGGCAGAAGAGGAAGTGAGGTCAGACTATGCTCTGCTTCCTGAGAGACGCCATGCTCAGCTCTCCCGGGTAGACGCGATAGCTCTGCACTCTGAGGCAGACGCATGAAGCTCAGATCCATGATGGACGGAGGCTAGAATCTTCCCGGTAAGCGCACCTTGGGGTGCTTACACACATCATTAGAAATGGGCTAGTCCAGGTGCAAGAATTAGCCTGTAAGGGCTAGAGTTCATGGGCCAAGCAGTTCTTTAAATGAATACAGTTTGTGTTTTGTTATTTCGGGCATGAGCTAGCCAAGCGGCCGGGGTGTTGGGGACGCAGCCCCGCCGCCGCTCATATTTCAACAAAATAAACCTTAAAAAAAAAAGAAAAGAAAATGATCAGTTTCCCATGACAAGAGTGGATGAGTCTGCTCAACAAGGATTGGCTTAGACCGCCCCCATCACTTCCAATAGATCCTCACCTGACTGTGTCAGTCCCTGAACAAACCCCGAAAGGTCTCACGTGGGCTAGCAGGAAGGAAGCCATGCTGGCTGGGCTGGGCTCTGCTCTTCCCTACAGCAAGACTGTAGTCTAGTAACCCCTGTGTCTTCACCCTGAAACAGGAATAGTAATGGCTTCCGGCGTGATGAGCCCCAGACCACTTGAGTCTACTTGCTGCTCAGGAAACTGCCTGATTCAAGAGCTACCGGTGGGGTAGGAATGCGTCCTCTCCGCATCCAATAACCTAGAGGGCCGCTTGTCTGCGGAGACCCGCAGAGAACGCTACACGCTTCCTTTCCTGCCCCCTCTCTCTTTCCTTCTGAATCAGAGTCTCCAGTGCCAAGATGATGGAAAACTTTATTCATTTACTTGTTTAATTTGTCAAGGCCCAGACGGGTGTCAAACTAAGTATACAGGAGAATATCCTTGCCCGTCAGAGCCTGCTGCCTCTGCCTCCTGAGCGCTGAGAATACAGGTGTGGTTTATAACACACTAGGGAGTAAGCCTCGGGCTTCCAGCGAGCTAGGATCGCACTGCCAACGGATCGCACCCCTAGCCCAATAAAAACATTTCCTAGTTCCTAAAGACTTTTGGGCACTAAGGATAATGATGCTTTTCCCATTGACCTAAGCATTGCTTATTGTATCCTACAAAGTATAAACTAATGGATTTTAGGACGTGTTCCCTTCAGAGTCTTGCAATTGAGGGGAGGAAAAAACACACAAATATAACTAATATCAGTTCGGCAAACACGGTGTTAGTATTAACACGTCAAAAATAGTACTTGGGGTGAAGAAGAAGCCGGCGGCGGTGGCAGCGGGAGCCTGGCTGCACGTGCTGGGTCTCTAAGCGATCCTTAGGCTCGGAAGCAAAATTCCAAATCCGGAAAAATCACCTTGGGCTCTGCTCTTATCGTGTGTAGCTCAGATCTGTAAATTAACACATGGAAATCCGAAGTGACAGGCAGGTGTGAAAGGGAACTCAGAGAAACAGCTGTTTTCAGGGATAATATTGAAAATACATAAAAGCTGTTAATAAATAAAAAGAAGCCCATATGTGTAGTTCTGAAACCCAAAGCACTTCATTCCTGGCTTCTTCCCACTCCCCAAGTGTAAGTAGATTTTTTCCCCCTAAAAGTTAACCAGTTCTGCCCAGATTTACATAGATTCTTCCAGAAGCATCGGGATGAGGTTTGGCTTAGTGGGAAAGATGAAGATGGTTCCTATCATGACTGGAGGGTGTCTAGTAAACATCGAATTTGGGCTCACAAACACAGGGCGGTCCTCAGGCGAGAGTTGGCTTCCACCTGGAGAAACTGGAACCGAAGCAAGCGGTCAGCTCTGGGACTCGCTGCATGGTCTTTGGGTCTCGTGTGGTGATGGGCTGAAGAGACAAGAAGGTACCACACCTCCTCAGTTCCTTTCTGCCACCACTAAACATCAGCGTGGACCTGGGCATGTCTCCTCCAGCAGACATCACTTCTACAGAGGATTTGGTTTGACCCCAGTTGGTGTGGGAGGTCCTTCTGTCTGTGTGTTGTTTTCTTGGTTAATGAATAAAGAAACTGCCTTGGCCAGTTGGTAGGGCAGAACTTAGGTAGGCGGGAGATGGAACTGAATGCTGGGAGGAAGAAAGGCAGAGTCAGAGAGACACCATGGATCCACGGCCACAGATGGACATGATGGAACTTTGCTGGTAGGCCACGACTTTGTGGTGATACGCAGATTAATAGAAATGGGTTAAATTAATATGTAAGAATTAGCCAATAAGAAGTTAGAGCTAATGGGCCAATCAGTCATTTAATTAATACAGTTTCTGCGTGGTTATTTTGGGGCTAAGCTAGCTGGGCAGCCAGGACGAGCAAGCAGGCCCTCCTCCTACACCCAGTGTTTGGCAGTCCGGAGCCACTCCACGGGGCGGAAGACTGCCCGTGACCAGGGCAAGTCACAGAGGCAGGGACTGTCATGTAAGAAAAATGGACAGGCCCCGGTCGTCCTGTCAGGAACTCAGTGGGCAGAGTAGAGTAAGCTGCCACTGTCCTTCCCATGGGAAGGCCAGGGTTATTGGAAGTCACCGAAGATCAATGTTCTGACCTGTGTGGCAAGCTGGCAGGGCAGAGAATGGCACGCCCAGCAGCCGCAATCAATGAACGATGACTTGGGTCGATACTGGGAGGATCTGAGGAGAAAGGAAGCATTGAGATGTAAGAACAAAACAAATTCCAATGACAGAGAACATAAAGAAAGGCCATATAGCATTCCCCAGGGCTGGCCAGGTTGGCATTTATAGGCTGGGCCGACCTTCAACCCAGGCCAAACACAAAGGTACTGAATTCGCAGGTTCTAAATCCCACAGCTGTGAGATTGCTCATGAGGAAGAACAGCAGTCGGAGTCTGAATCGGATGGAAGCTCTCCTGAAATGGAAATTTTCTAGAACATTCTCAGAGGTGTGGTCAGCAAGGGAATATAAATGTTTATGAATTATTGTATAAAACACGAAAAGCCACGATACAAATTCTCGAAAGAGTTGGTGTTTCTGGGTTAATCCATGTATCTGGCCTCTGTAGATTTCCCAGCAGGCTCTCAATAACCGCTTTTTTGGAGACATACTGGGCTAAACCTCACTATGTAGCATAAGATGACCTTTACCTTCTGATGCCCTTGCTCTCAGTTCGCCAGGGCTGGGATCGCAGTCCTGTGCCAGCAGGGTCTAGTGTATGTGGGGCTGGGGTGGAACCTGGAGCTTTGTGCCGTGCTAGGAAAACATTTCACAAGCTGAGCTACGTTTCAGTCTCTGAATAACAGCATACATCTGTGTGCCAGGAACAGTACTAGATCAGAAGAAGATGGTGGCAACCACACAGTCATGGTCTGCATGTGTTGAAAGGGGGGAACAGACCCGGTGATGTCCTGGAGATCCTGTGATGTCAGCACAGACCCGGTGATGTCCTGGAGATCCTGTGACATATAACACAGACCCGGTGATGTCCTGGAGATCCTGTGACGTATAACACAGACCCAGTGATGTCCTGGAGATCCTGTGACATATAACACAGACCCGGTGATGTCCTGGAGATCCTGTGATGTCAGCACAGACCCGGTGATGTCCTGGAGATCCTGTGACATATAACACAGACCCAGTGATGTCCTGGAGATCCTGTGATGTGCAGAACACACCTGGTGATATTCTATAGCGCTTGCGCCAATAGAGACGGGAAGCAGGCCACAGCTGTGTTTAAAACTGCATTTAGATGATGACGAAAGCACAGATATCAGTGCGAGAGGGGGCAGGGAGAGCGACATCCTCGGATAGAGACAATATGAACAAAATCTGGGAGCTGGAGAAGTGGGGAAACGCTTGCCACAGCATGAGGGTCTGATCTCTGAGCCCTAGAACCTAAGGAAAAAGCCAGATAAGGTGGCAAGGAGGTGCCAATAATTTGAGTTGGGGAGAAAGAGCCAAGAGACTCCCTGGGGCTCACCATCCAGCTCAGTTAGCCTTCTGAACTGGGGAGCTCCCTGTTCAGAGAGAGACCTTGCCTTACACACACATACAAAGGTGGAGAGCAATGAAGAAGACATTTGATGTTGACCTCTGACCTCCACACATCCAGAACACCCTATCACGAACAAAATCTAGTCATTTATGGCTTAAAGAAACACAGTCATTAATGAAATTTTTATAAAAACTAGAAGAGGATTAAGGAAAAACATTTTTTATAAAAGAAAGAAATCAAACCAAGAAAGGGAAAGAAAGAGAAAGAGAAAGAAAAACCCCACAGGAGTGGTATCTTATAGTCCTACAAAATGTCATGAGTCCCACATTATAATTCTGCAATTCCATGTGATCTGTCATCCAAGCTGAGGAATACCTGCACACAAGGAAACCCAGATATTCAGTTATCCGGTGGGAAATTGCACAATTTTCTTTTTCCATAGATAGAATCGCAGGCTGGCCTTGAACTCACTGAGGGTGGCTGAGGGTGACCTTGAACTTCTGACCCTCTGCTTCTACCTCCCAAGTACTGGGATTACAGGTGTGTGCTACCACACCTGGTTTATGAAGTACTGGGGGTGGAGCCCAAGACTTGATGCCAGCTAGGCAGCAGCCTACCGACCGGCTACATTCTCAACCCCTTTATGAAGACTTTCTGTCTGGGGGGAATTAACACCCAGCCTCTGACCACAAGCCGAGGGAAATGCCTACGACCCTGTGAATTAAGGATTGATCCTTAATCCTGAGAGGCCAAGTAGGCCAGAGTTAAGTGTAGTTCCCGTAGAGAGATGCCCAGAAGAATGAACTACAGAAATTTGAGAGCAAGCTTCGGAGTCTTTGACTGAAGGTTACACATGTGTGTACAGAGTAAAATCCCACAATCCAGCTAAGAGTGAATTTAAGAGCTGGGGCTTCCCAGGAGATGGTGGCACACACCTTTAATCCCAGCACTCGGGAGGCAGGGTCGGGCGGATCTCTGTGAGTTCTCAGCCAGCCTGGTCTCCAGAGTGAGTTCCAGGACAGCTGGACGGTTACACAGAGAAACCTTGACTCTAGGCTCTTCGCAGAGGTGCGTCCTACTACACAAGCCCCTTGGAATAGATGAAGAGGTGGGCAATGACCTGACCTTTCTGGGCCTCAGTTTCTCCATCTATAAAATCAAGGTGGCCCGAGTTCCCAGGCTGAATCGGAAACCCTCGGCACTGATGTGCGTTTGATTGAAGACACTTTCAAATACAATGTGTATTGCATGTGCATCCACCCCCAGCCCCTGCTTCCCAGCAGAGAGCCCGAGTGCTCGCCCCTGGTAAAACACGTGAATATTTCGGCAGGAAAAGCTCAGACTTTCACTGTAAGTGGGACAAGCACAGACTATAATTAGCCTGTGTTAGCTAAGGTCAGGGTTTGCTGCCAAGCGAGCTTACTTCAATTCTGTCTTTAAAAAAAAAATCTTCTAAGGATTTTTTTTTCCTTAATGTTCAAGGGTTTTCTGAATTTCAAAACTGCAGATGAGGGCTGTGGAGTTTTTCTGCCCAGCAGCTCGGCAGAAGTCCCGGGCGCCGTGCAATCCGCCATCAGCACGCTCTTCAGGTAGTCCCACATCCCGCATTTGGGGCCCATAGCTTGGCAAGCAGAACCCAGAAGGGGGCCGGGCTTTTCAGGGTGAATGCCAAGCGGTCCCTGAGCTGGACTTTGTGCAGGGCACAGGCTGTGCCACCAGAGCCTCCAAATCCTGCACACCTCCAGACTTCTGGAATGATAATCAACGGTGTAAGATGTCTTCCCTCAGGGCCACAGCTTTACTGGCGACTCACGCTCTCAATTTGCAAATGCGATCCACTTACCAGTCGCCAGGCGGAGCTTCTGAAATCACAGGGCGGAGCCTCTGAAAACACAGGGCAGGGCGCTAGGTAGTGCCAGAAATAGTGAATATTAGCGGGTAGCCTCCAAGACTCACAGACCACACTTTGAGTTGTGAGTTCCACACACACACACACACACACACACACACCGCCTTTATGTCCCTGAATGTCTGTCTTCACTCTTCTTGCTCAGTAGCCCTTCCCTCAGTCGGCTTCTGCCTGGGATTCCCATCGACAGCTACTGTCCTCCCACGTGGCCACGTGGCATCCCTCCCCCCACCAGTTCCCAGGTGTAATGGAAAGGTTAAAAATGCTGCAGGATCCCCGGCGGCAGTAGGCAGCAGAAATGCTGTAGGTCCCCAAGCAGTGGTAGTGGACCATGTGGCGGCAGGCAGCTGGCCCTGAGAGCAGCCAATCTCAGGCAGAGACGGCTGGCCATCCCCGAGCAGTGGCTGGTCCCAGGCAGGGAGACACGTGGCGGGCGGGCAAGAGACAGAGATGTCCGCCTACATGAAGGCCCCTTGAGGTGCTGGGACGGGGCATAGTAGCTCTCTAGGAACCATCAGGTTCACACCCAGAGCCCATTCTGGCTTTAGGCTCCTTGCTCTCTGTCCTGCCATCTGCTTTGAGCCAGGCAGTGACTGTTTCTGACCTGGCGGTGACTAGGCCAGGCTCATTCACTACACTGTGGAAGACTGGAAAGCCCTCGTTCTGTTTCTACACCAAGCTGCATTGCCGTCTGAAAAATAACCCAGAAGGGGAGCTGAGTGCGTGGCTGAGCTGGGAGAGTGCTTGCCTAGCGTGGATCTAATCCCCGGCTTCCATTCTAAAGCTGTGGGGCTTCAGCCTGTGGTTCCAGGAACTGGTGAGGTAGAAAGATCAGACGTTCAGGGTCAGCCTTTGTTATGTGCAAGGCTGAGGCCAGCCTGGGCTCTAGGAACAAACAAACAAAAATTAAAAAAGAGGAAGCTCGTTAATGCAGAGGCTATTTTTCATGCCCATAATCTGAATGATGGGCCCTCTTCTCTCCCTAACAGACCATTCAAGAAATCAGAACATATTTTGATTTCTGACTTGAATTTGGATGTAAACGAATTTTTACTTTCTTTCCAAAAAAGTCCTTTTGTTTTTATTTATGTGTCTATTATAAAATGTTCTTATCAAAAGAAAATTGGGAAGTCATACTCCAGAAAAACCCACCTCTTTTCAAGATGGAGTACCTTGCCCCTTACCCTAGTGACTTGAACCAGTGGTGGTGGTGGCCATGGTGGTGGTCTGGGGGCGGGGGAGGTTGGAGGACCTTCGCCCACTTAAGCCTTATTCTCTGCACTTCCTGCAGTGTCCAACAGAGGGCGCCCATGACACTATCAGAATTTCCTACTGATTGGGCAGACTGGAGCCCCTCTCTGATGAAAGCAGAGGTGGCCAGGGTGGTCTTCATTTGCTGTTTCCCACGGGGCCTGCAAACAGCCCAAAGGGACAGCGGTAGGCGCTGGCAGACTCACATCTTGTCTGACAGGCAGTGCTTCCTGCCCATTTGGGATGACTAAGTCCCGCGGTCTGGGCATCTCTCAACTGCAAGGGTAATGGTGACACCAGACACGAGTGTGAGCCCTAGTGCTGGTGACAAAGACAGCCGGTAAGAGGGCACAACGGCCATCATATACAGGGTGGTAAAAACAGAACTGAGGGCTGAACGGGAAGACTCACTGTAGTTAGTGCTAGCTGCACAGGCGTGAGGATGCAAGTTAGGTCTTTAGAACTCACGAGAGAGAGAAAAGTAGCTGGGCAGAGAAGTGTACACTTGTAACCCCAACACTGGGGCTTCCTCACCAGCCAGCCTGGCTGAATTGGTGAGCCCCAGGCCAATGAGAGTCCCTGTCACAAAAAATAAGGTGGACAGATGTGAAGAATTAGACTCAAGGTTGCCCTTTGGACCTTGTGCGCGTGTGCTCACGCACACACACACAGTCACACATACACACACACAGAGTCACATCACACACACAGAGTCACACATATACACATACTGTCACACATGACAGACACATACACACAGAGTCACAGAATTTTGTTCAGGCTTACCTCAAGCTCAGGGCAATCCCCCTGCTTCAGTGACTGCTGGGATCATGAGCTTCCTGCACAGCAAGCTCACCCCTTCCGTTGTTTCATGGATACCTGTTCTGTGTTGCTTGCTGAGACTCGCTCCTAGACACTTTCAAGTGGGATTTCTCCGTGGAAATACATAGGGAAGAGATTTGGGCAATGGCACCTGCACAGTTCTGATACCTGAATCATGAGCCAAACAAACACACTCGTCAAGTACCCATCTCCAGCTTAACTGTGACGGCTCATCTTGATTGTTGTGGTGGTCGGAAAGAAAATGGCCCCCAAGGGAGTGGCACTATTAGAAGGTGTGGCCTTGCTAAAGGAAGTGTGTCACTCCGGAGGCCGGCTTTGAGGTCTCTTATAGGCTCAAGCTACTCCCAATGTTTCAGCTCACTTCCTGTTGCCTGTGGCTCAAGATATAGGACTCCCAGCTCCAGCACCACGTCTGCCTAAATGCCACCACGTCCCAACAGGTTGATAACAGACTGGAACACAGAAGGTACAAACCTCCCCATTAGATGCGTTTCCTTTCTAAGAGCTGCTGTGGTCATGGTGTCTCTCCACAGCAATAGAAACCCTAACTAGGACAATTGTCAACTCAGTGGATTTAGAATCACCATGGGAACAGCCCTCTAGGCACGCCGATGAGGGATGTTTTTAGACTGAGATGCTAAGACCACTCTAAATATGAGTGGTGTCACAGCCTGGGTTGGGATTCCGAACTGAATAAAATGAACTGGAGCTGGGCCTTTCCCCACGCCTCCTGATTAGGGATGCCATGGGATCACCTGCCAGCACTGTCCCCCCACGATGGACTGTAGCCCTCACAGCGTGAGCCAAAACCACCAAGAATAAAAGTAAACTAAGACACCATCCATGAAGCCATAGCAGGTGATGTGGCCAAAGACACAGTGGAGTCTGCAGCAGGGTCTGTGGTCTCCTAGCTGTAGGAATGGGCACTTGAGGGGGCTGGAGGGATGGCTCAGTGGTTAAGAGCACTGGCTGCTCTTCTGAAGGACCCAGGTTCAATTCCCAGCAACCACATGGCTGCTCACGACTGTTTGTAACTCCAGTTCCAGAGGATCTAGCATTCTCATGCAGGCAAAACCACAATGTACATTAAAAATAATAAGTCAGGGGGGCTGGAAAGATGGCTCAGAGGTTAAGAGCATTGCCTGCTCTTCCAAAGGTCCTGAGTTCAATTCCCAGCAACCACATGGTGGCTCACAACCATCTGTAATGGGGTCTGGTGCCCTCTTCTGGCCTGCAGGCATACACACAGAATATTATATACACAATAAATAAATAAATAATTAAAAAAAAATAATAATAAGTCAGGAAGGAAGGAAGGAAGGAAGGAAGAAAGGAAGGAAGGAAGGAAGGAAGGAAGGAAGGAAGGAAGGAAGGAAGGAAGGGGCAACTGCTCAGAGAGAGACGGTCCCGCGCCAGGGTGTAGGGTGTGAGGACACATTAGCCTAGGTTTGCACACTGGCTCTGCCACCATGCACGAGGGTCTTCGCTGCTTTGTTTTTGACACGGTGGCAGGACCACACTAGGCAGCGGGCTTTCCAATGAGCACAGATCTTCTAGAGAAGAGCGGGTGATGTAAAGCCCCATCCATCCAGTTAAGAGGACCTGGTCACGGGGGAGAGGAGGGTTTACTACGGCTGTGTCTCACGTTCACATTCACACAGGAGCTGGGTGACCACGGGCTGAAGGGCACAGCCCACCCCATCCACCCCAGTCTCAGCAACGAGCCACAAATAGACCATACACAGAACACAGCTTTTTTTTTTCTTCAATTTAATTGAAGTTACTTAGAAAAATAATCAGGCTCGAATGGCTTTTCGTGGAGGAAGGTTCGGGAACACTTCACGCGTCTGTTGGCAACATGGAATTCAGCTTCTTTAACAGTACAGTAAGATACAGGGAGAGAGTTCTACAGCAGGCCCTCAACTGCATACAAATATGTAAAAAAAAAACCCACGCTCCACAAAGATGTTACATTCTACATCCATATGCCTTACTGAGAGAATGCTCAGAAGAGAGCACGGATACCGCCTTTTGTACCTGATGAGAGCAGACCAAAATTTGCCTGCTGCTGGCCAAGGGTCCAGCTGGTTCTAGAAGGTCCTGTTGCCTATTCAGAGGGTCTGTTTGGCTGTGGTGGGGAAAAGCCGGGGGATGCTGGTGGGCAGAACCTGGGGGAGTGACGGGGTCAGTCCTGCTGACGAAGAGGTGGGCCACGATGGGAGTGGGGTGCCAGGA